CAAAAAAAATGAAATAATTATTACAAAATCTTCCGCCTGTTTTGGTGCAGCGAGAACACCATGTAAAAATGATAATGTGCAAGTTAAATATTGTAAATTTAGTAGTATGTATACGGGTTGAAATAAAAAAAAAACATATTTTATGGTATCTACATTGATCAACGGTATCTATAATCTCCAATAGCTCAAATGAGAAAAGTCGCATGACACCTAAATCTAAAACAGTTGACAGCTATTTTAAATAAGGTTTTCTTTGGTTCAAGGGATTTCAGATACTTTAGCATGTGTTTTTTGCAAATTTCGCCTTCAACTGTATTGACTGTTTCTAATACACCAATTATATACTCTCCCTTGCTTGTTGGCTGGAAAACCGACCAAAAATATTTAAAAAAAGATTTGCTGCTTACTTACATTGTACTCTAGCTTAGTCGTTTTATATTAAATAATATATTGTATTTTTATGTGCTTGTACGTCCTATAATGGTTGTATTAACTAACTCGGAGAAGAGCGTTCCTCCTCTCTCTTTTTGATGACGAAAAAAATAAGTAGCGTTTATTAGTAGGTTTAACTTGTTAGGACTGATCTAGTTTATCCACCATTTTGAATATAGGAATACATATATTGAGTGTTTTCATTGTTGTGAGGCTGCACATCCCTGAACGGCCCGCGACTGTTTTTGGCTCTACGTTTACAAAACACAAAAAAAATCACAAACCAAATTATGCCGAGAATTAACCAACGCACAATTTAGGCTGCAAAAAAATCAAATTTGGTCACATAAGAGCTTTATAAAGGTTTTAAAAGAATAATTGGTTATATAACGGCTTTATAGGAGCAAACATGGTTTTATAAGACTAAAAATGCATGGAATTTGTTTTGTGGTGTTTTGTGTACGTTTTTGTGGCACTTAGAGTCCCGCGGGCCGTTTTTTGGACACGCCAACTTAGCATAGCCCGCTTTGTCCGTTAACGTTCCTGCCAATAGGTCGCACACGAATGCAGAAAAATCTATATTTGATAGCAATAGTATTACATGTTTTTATCTGTATGTTATTGGGTAGCTATTTACTAAAATTACTTAAAAAAAAGCATTTCGCATTGGTATGGCTCGAACGGAATTCAACAAGGATTTTTGTTGTGCCAAAATGATGAAAGTAGAAATATTGATATTCCATAATGAAAAACTTTGACATATCAAGGGACCAACTTGCTTTGATTTTAAGCATTAACACCAAATTAAGAGTGATTACCCCCTCCCAAATTTAAACTGTTTATATTTAGAGCGATACCAATGTATGATGCGCGCATGTGTTAGTTGGTTTTATTAAAAACATATCTGGCCGATTTTTGAGGATCGGCCATCTTCCGACTTTTAATAATATAAAAGCGTACTACGCCAATGGAGGTCGGTACGCCCCTGATAATGTGCTTCTTGCCCCGCGTACACTTGCTTCAGTAACCTATAGTTGTATTTGTAGCAGAGGCGTGCATTTAGAAAAAGGGTATTATGAAAAATGTTTCGGTGTATTTTCGGCTAAATTGTTAATGATAAATTTCAATTATTAAAACTTTGTTAAATTTGTTAGTTAGGATTTTTTATTGTAATTAATTGTAAACATATTGACAATCTTTTTCTTCCTTTCTCGAGAAGAATTTTTAAGCCTTAGATAAGTATTTAACGAATGTGCCAACACAGCCTTAAAGAGGTTTTATTAGCATAAAATTTTAAAATTGGTTGATCAACGAAAAACACCGAAACATCGTTCAACGTGTTGCGTGTGGCGCGCCTCTGCGTTGCATTTGTATTTTTGGCAGCTTTTTTGCTATACAGCGTGTTGTATAAAACTGTGCCGACGCCTATGTACCGAGTGTTTCACCGGTCAATTTTTTTAACTCTTCTCTCTGAACTTTAAGACTGATGTGTTTGTTGTAGTAGGTATCGTATTTTGCAAAATTAACATGGCAATATTGTGAGTAATACATAATATATTTTTGAGCAGTTTGTTGGCCGCGCCGCAAGATGGCGCGGTGCTCTGTTGGCCTATAGTACTCTCTCTCTCTGTATTTGTCTCTGTTTGTGCGCAGTGGCTCACCACTGTTTAAGGCATGCGCCTCAAAGGTTATATTGCGGCAGTGGACAATAATGTTACTCCATCTGTTTGCAAATCCAGCAACTAAGCCTCTCCGGCAACGCACACTTATATACTTTGGTGTTCAAGCAACAAAGGTGAGATGTACTGGTGTATGTTGCTTGGGGGTGGGGTTGCTGGTTGTCTATTCCAAAGTATTTTCAAAACTGTTGTTAATCAAAATGTTATTATAAGATGAAGTGATCTTTTTCGATTCAAGTTTTTTTGTCAACTAGATATTTTCTTACAGAAAATTTATTTTGTATATGATGGTTGAAAATAATAATTGTGGTGTGCATGTAAATTCATATTATATTATGGAGCACATTATCTGGCTAGCATTTCATGTATACACTGTTGTTACGAAAAAAATAATAATAATAATTCTTGATATGTTGTAATGATGATAAAAATATTTTTAAAATGTTTGACGAAACAAAAAAATGATTACATACCTATTATTTACTTATAACTATAGTTGCTATTTTGTGAACAGCGATAGATCCGCCACGAGAATTATTATTACCCCTGTCAAGTTCTATAGAAACTGTATGTCTGAACCATAGGACATTTTCTCTTGTCCCTTAACCCCGAAAACTTTAAGCAATAACTAATTATGAACTCTCTGGCGGAGCTCTAGTCATTTATCGTTTTTCCTTTTTTTTGTTTATTTAGTATAAGTTTTTATCAAGAAGTTCTCATTGTTGAAAGTATGCCTAGTCAATAGTTCGGGTGAAAAAGAATTCTTTTGAACATTTTCTCAGACTTTGTCGTTGAAAATTGAATTTTATTTTATTTATTATTATTTATTATTAGTACATTTAATTGATACCTTAAATTAAGTACAACGTTTGATGATTAATCATATCAGTTTGTTATAAGCGTGTATTATTGCAGTGGTGTATCTAATAAAGCATTATGTTTGCTTGATTTAACTTTATTTATTTATTATCCCTACTAACATCCCTTATCCTTGGAGAATAACTCGCTTGGGCGTTTACTAACATTCTTTCTCATTTCCTTAGAAACTAACTTTTATCTAAGTAGTTGCCTTGCTTTAATCTTGATTTAAAATTACTTACATTGTTCCATTCTATTGTTTCTAATATTTGTTGATGACATCGTATAGAATATTTGGAAAAGCTACCATTTTGAAAGATATTTTTAAGGTAAGTATAACTTATTATTTACTTCATGAATTTTATTCAAAAGAAATAAAACCGACTTGGTCTCAGGGATATAGAATGTTTTGCTTGGGCTGTAGCAAGACTAGCAAAGACTTAATTCATCCGATCCCCATCATTTTATTGCCTGCAGTTTTGATTTTTCTGAAAATTTTGGACTGAAAATGTTTTGATAAAAATATTTTTGTCATTTCTCAAAAAAACAAATCGTTTTAATTAACTTTTCAATTATAGCCAAAAACATTTTTATACTTTTTCATAAGCAAAAATATATATGTATATGGACCAATTTTCAAGCTTTTTACTTACATTACACCTTTGCCTTCAAAAGAAAATTTCTATAAGACAAAAATATTGTAACCCTACAAACACTTCACTTTTATGCTCGTAAACCTAACAAAACCTGTAAAAACGGATTTTGTTTTTAATTCCAGAAAGTCCTTCCGAAAACAAGGAAGAAAAATCGGAAAGCTCAAAGGACACGTCAAGCAAACAAACTAAAAAAATATTGTATTTCCCTGCTGGATAAACCTAGATTCGGTGCTTCCATTTTTCAAAATAACCCAGATAAGTTTGGTTTTTACGTATGCTATATACGGATATGTATATAAACACAAACTTTTTGGCCATAAATTCCAAGGGGTGTTTAATTTTATAGAGTGACACTCTATATTGTATAATATACATATCCAAGACAAAGTTATAGGTAGTATAGTAAGTATCGACAATGTTTGACAACTGGACAAATGATACGAAACTTAAGATCACTTTACAAATGTTATTAAAACGGCCTTAATTAAATTTAAATCGTTTCCTCAAACTGTAATATTAGTTAGTTAACGTGTTCGTAAGGAGGGAAATGCTCACCATTATGAGTTCACAACCCGCATGTCTGGAAACTGATTATTATACGCACAAGATGGGGCGAAATTGCTAAGGGGAATTTCCAGTCATCAATTAAGTTTTCTGTAAAAAAAAGAGGCTTTAGGGTACGAATATCCGTCCCCACAACTCATTTCGTATTAAAACTTTGTTTATTTAGGCGAAAATAATTTTTGACCGCGGTCCGAGGCCTTTTAACATTTTTCCAATATCATATCTTCTCTTTATATCTATTAAAAAAAATTGAAGGGGTATCACTTGAGAATTGCTCAACCTGATATTTGGATACAAAAAAACTTTTGACACGAAAATAAAAACTTGTCCTTCCAATGGCAAATGAGTACTATCAAGTCCAACAAAAACACATTAAGAGTAAAATCAATAAAAATTATATTAATTTACTTGACACATGTAGACACTAGTAGGTAAACTACTCAACAAATTTCGACACATTCTCGAGAATAGCGTTGGAAATTCAATTTATCTCGCAACCGCGAAACATACGTATATATAAATTGATTTGGCTCCAGCGGTTTTAATCAATTTACTCGAGTTTAAAGGCTCTACTCTGTTTACTCGACATAAAATGCTGCTTTCGAACTAATCAAGTTCTAAAACTCCTGTTAAATTACCTCAACTTATGAAGAACGTAAGTAAACAAGATTTAGATTTTTATTTTTTCACTCATTCACTAGACAGGCATATTTTTTATCGAATTATAATACCAAAAGTTCAATATCCTATGATTTTAAAACGCCTGTTTCGCATGACCGTCGTATATCCCTCCAATATTTGAGATCTTCTATAAATTTAATTCAACTTTTAAGTAGCCAAAGAAAATGATACTGAGTTTTTTGTTATAAAATTGGCTAAAAATAATAACTGAACGTTGCCCCGACGTTTTCTTCACATGACCGTAGGACTTTGACACATGAAAAAAAAAAAAAGAATGCGACGGTCATGTTAAAAATTTGTTTATTTTTTATTTAAAACCCTTCCAAGTTTTATTTTTATGCACATAAATCACTTTCTTCATCATTCTGGCATATTTGACCAAGATTTTTTCAAAATTAAATCAGAATCTTATAGGATACTGAAAACCACCCATATGTATATTTTGTTTTACTACTGCTAGCGCCATCTCTTTGATTTTGTAAAGATGCAAAAATGGTGAATATAAAACTTAAAAAATCATTTATTAAAAAAAAAAGATCACAATACTTTTAAAGCTGCCACCTCGTTAGCTACCCCACATACGTTCCCGCCATAGGCAATGTACAAGTACCCCCCGTCTCCAAAATCCTCCCCCCAAGAATTCCTGGCGATATAATGGGGTACATCGGCAGTCAAATCGTACCCCACCAGTTGCACCGCGTGATTCAAATTTAGCGGGTTATCGTCGCAGTGATATTGAATTATCCCGCCAGCATAATTTTGCCATGTTTTGGCGTTGACAGCCACTGTTATAGGGCCTAGACGGGCTATCAAATCCAACATAACGTCTTCGTTACCTATGAACCTAAAATGTTGAATAACTGGATAAAAAATCAAAATTAGTAACCACTAACATCACCCACACAACACAAAATACTTACTGAGCACAACTGTAATCTTCAACATCCACAATACCCAGACTTGCATTGGTGATACACTGCATATTTTGTAATCTAAGAGGGTACAAATCATCCCCTTCAATCCTAATATTATTCGCCTTTATCCACTGTAACAATCGGCACAAATCGCCGCCATCGCAACCCTTGTTTAAAGTTGAACAATCAATCATCTGTTGGACACTCAAATCCAACAATTTTCCATGTTTTATCGCATACATCGATTCAACTGTTGCTATGATGGAGAAGGCCCAGCAGGCTCCACATTTATGTTGATTTTTTATTTTGGTGGTTACGTTTTGTACCCTCCAATCCACTTTACTCGGTATTCGCCTTGCGGATCTTTTGCTGTAATGTTTTGATTCGCTGAAGTCATCGTCCAAATTTATCGTGTTCTGTGCTATTTGCGATAAGTGCCTACTGAGAAATTCTTCCGGTAATAAGTCCGAGAATTTCGTTAAACCGTAATAGGCGGAATTATTAGTTCTATTTCTGTTCATCATATTTATACTATTTAAAGAATTCTACAACAAAAAAACGTATTAATAGTTGCCTATGAATACAAAAATATTATTATATTCTTACCTTAAAAGCTTCTAATCTTAAATTAAACACAGTCTCATTGTCATAACTCTTGTTAAACTTCTTTATGTACTCCGAAAAATCAGCGTCTTCTTTTTCAACGTTGAAAGGCACCATAAGGCACAACATAGACAAATAAAAAGAGTATTCCAAATAAGTAAACCAGCCGGCCATTTTCGAAACACATAACACTGTTTTCTTTAAAACTGGTCGATTAAGTTTTTAATGTAAGGTTTCCCTTGCAATACAACATGTTTACTAAACAATATGACGACGTATTTTATCTACACTTTTTTTATCTCATATCCCGGAATTTTTCCAATTTATTTATGCTTAAGAATAAAAATACATTCAAATAACGTGTTGTTTTATTTATTAACCTTTAAACGTGTATAAACTTTATACTATAAAGTAACAAAAAAACTTTGGGAAATATTTTATAGTAATTTAAATGCAGTACCACTAACGCCACCTATCTTTTAATAGCTTAACTGATAAATAATCAGATACAGTTGAGAAAACTTGTGGTTTTAAAATATAGATGGCGCTTTATTCGTATTTAAATTTTCAAATACCTGTACGTAGTTTTTTTTTATTTTGACGTCAAAAATTGGCAAATTCCAGGGAACCTAAATTTATAATTCCATGGAAACTCTTTAAATGGATACTTCTTTAAAAGAATTTTTAAGATAAATCTGATTAATATTCATAATTTACTTAAATTGTAAATTTAAATCACTTCTTACAATATAAGTGTTAAATAAAATTCAAATTTAAATTAAGAATGTTTTATTTCAATATATCAATTTATTTATATCACAACAATTAGAAAAACACTAATAATTTAATCCTGTGATTTCATATATTTTTTATTTAAATATATGAGGCCTTTATTTAAAAAGGAAACTAAAACAAAACAGAAAAAAATATTATCACAACAAAGAACATGACATGACATTGTATAAAATGTTTAAGTTATTAGAATACAAATTATACAGGGTGAGTTTTAAGTTGACGCGTTCCTTTTAACAGCGTGTAGAAATCAGATAAACAAATAAATATTTTAAGTAACTTTTTTATCAAAACTCAAAAATAAGAGAGTTATAGGCCTTCCAAGTTTAATTAAATTTTGAGCCGGTCCTGGCTATTGTTAACAAAAAACATAACCATAAAAATAAAAACAACAAAATAAACAATGCAAAATGTCATCTATGACAACAAACATAACCATTTAAATCAAAATGACATTTAGCAATGAAAAATGTCAGTTTTTTTGTGCCTCAATTATTGTTAAAAATGGCTCATAATTATAGCAATAATGAATTAATGGAAATGTTACTAATTTATGGAGAGTGTCGTCAAAATGCAAATAATGACATTTTTTATTGCAAAATGTCAATTTGATTTAAATGGTTATGTTTGTTGTCAAATATGACATTTTGCATTGTTTATTTTGATATTTTTATGGTTATGTTTTTCGTTATCAACTTAAAACTCACCCTGTATAGGATAATTATGATACTCAGAAAACTGCAAGAAAAAGTAAAAGCAATTAATTTTACTTACCTATAAGGATAGCCTTGTGTTTTTGTCCTGAAAACGGATAACAATAAAGAAAAGAACACTGAAAGTAAAACTAATCCGGAAATGGCCATAAACTTCTTCCTCTTTGGATCTCCTTTGATTTTGGCTGCTTCAGTTAACAATATCACACCAATAACAATAGCGGCATCTATATTGTTAAGAAAAATTCATACAAATGTTTTTGAATTCGGAATTTTAACTCTTATTAATTAAAAGGATACTTAATACCATAACAATGTAAGTTTCAACAACAAACTGGCCCTGCGATGAACCGTGTATGTAGGCTATCTGCCCGTTTTGGTTTTTATGCATGAATGGAGGGCCTCTGATGTGGTTCCACATCTGTCCCGACGTCATTGCTAAGGTGAAGAAGAGAGCGCACACACCCCACATATTTTTGTTGCACAAGAAATCCAAATTGTTCCTCGTTAGGTACAAAATACCGGCAACGAAAGCTATCAACATTATCAAGGCGAATGTTCCCATGTAGTTTGGTGGACGGAATACGCGAATCTTTAAGAAAATGGTTAAATTATTATTGAATTATTATCTGGGTATTTTGTTTAAAACTGTTCAGTCCTCTTTATTTTTGGAAATTTTTAAGACAATTTTTTTAAATTATCTTGGCTTAACTTTACGCCTATTAATTTTAGACAGATTTGGAACTTTTTAAAAATGTTTTTAGGACAATTTAAGACATTTTGGATACATTTTTAGACGATTTCAAGATCGATTTAGGCCAAATTTAGGACATTTTTGAATATTTGTTCCAAGACAATTTCAAGCCTGCTTTTAGACAGTTTTAAGGCAAGTATATATAGGTGGGAAAATTTAGGGGCATTTTAGACTAATTTGGAAACTTGTTAGGTCAGTTAAATTAAAGAACAAATTTAGACGTCTTAAATTGGATTAAGAACATTTTTTAGATAGTTCTGTTTTGGGATATTTTTTATAGTTTTGAAGGACACATTAAAAAAAAATTGCATTTATTTATGTTAATTTTAGATAGGTTTAAGACAGGTTTAAGGCAAATTTAGGACATTTTTAAACCTAGAAGGTGGTTTTAGACGGTTCTAATATTTTAAGACAGTTTTCACAGTAAATTTTAGGGCAAGATTGAATAGGAATGTTTAAGGGCATTTGACTGAATTTTAAGACATTTTAAACAGTTTATAAACGTTTAAAACATTTTTAGACAGTTTTAGAAAAGTTTTAGGACAATTTTAAGACATTTTGAAGGAAGATTTAGTGGACAGTTTTGGTACATTTTTGAGTTGTAGAACAATTTAAAAAAATAATAATAGTCTTAAGTTAACACCTTATTAATTTTAGACAGTTCCAAATTTAGGACATCTTTGAACATTTGTTCTAAGACAATTTAAAACCTGCTTTAGACAGTTAATTTAAGGGAAAATATAGACAGTTCTGTTTTGGGATATTTTTTATAGTTTTGAAGGACATATTAAAAATATTTAAGACTTAGATGGGTTTAAGACAGTTTTAAGGCAATTTTAGGACATTTTAAGCCTGAAAGGTGGTTTTAGACAGTTCTAAGATTTAAGACAGTTTTCACAGTAAATTTTAAGGCAAGATTGAATATGAGATTTGACAAAGGTTTAGGACATTTTTATGACAGTTGTAGGACATTCTAAACAGTTTAAAAACGTTTAAGAACATTTTTAGACAGTTTTAAGAAGATTTTAGGACATTTTTAAGGAAGATTTAAAACCACTTTAGGTCAATTTTAGGACATTTTTGATCATTTAAGACAATTTCAAGCCTGCTTTTAGACAGTTAATTTAAGCGCAAGTATAGATAGGAAAATTTAAGGGCATTTTAGATTGAGTTGGACATTTTAAGTCAGTTTTAGTATTTAGTATTTATTAATTTTAGAATGTCCTAAGAACATTTTTGGAAGATTCTGTTCTGGGATTTTTTCTATAATAATAATACTTTATTTATGTTACCATACAATTTGTATTTACATTTGTCATAGTATTGAAGACAGTTTTAAGGCAATTTTAAGACATTTTTAAGTCCAGAAGGTGGTTTAAGACAGTTCTAAGATGATTTTAAGACAGGTTTAACAGTTTAAGGGCTTTTTAGACAGATTTAGGACATTTTTATAACAGTTGTAAGGCCAATAAACAGTTTAGGACATTTAAGAACAGTTTATAAAAGTTTCAAGACATTTTTAAGAGAAATTGGGCAGTTACAGGACAGTTTATGGACATTTTTTAAGATTTATGTTTATTTTTTGGTAGTTTTAAGACAGTATTAGGACAATTTAAGCCTGCTTTAAGTTTAGGGCAAGTATAGACAGGCAAAATTTTAGGTTTTAACATTTGTTAGTTTTTATATAGCTTGAAGTTTATATTAAAATAATTTTAGGACAATTTTTTTAGTTAGTTTTTAGATTGTCAATTTTAGGGTAGATAGGAATATTTAAGGGCATTTTAAATGTTTTAGGACATTTTTAAGATTTGGGCCAATTTTGAAGTGGGTTTAAGACGATTTTAGGACATTTCAAAGGAAGATTTAAGACTGAACAGTTTTTTGAACATTTAAATGTTAGTTTTTATGTTCTTCTTAGTTTTAAGTTAATATTAAGACAATTTTGAACTTGTTTTTGGACATCAAGAGATTTTTTTTATTTTTAGGAACATTTAGAAATATTAGGACATTTTTAGAGGGTTTCAGGAAACTTACAAAAAATGTTTAATTTTAAGTTATAAACGTTTTAAATAAAATTTAAAAAGTGCATAGAAAAGATATTTGTGTGGATTTTTTTATTGGATATTATAATTATTAAACCTGAGCAATATAACAAATAAAAACTTACCTGAATATCAGTACGTTCAGCAATCCATTTAGAGATAGTTTCGGCAGCAAAACCAATCCTTTGTATATCCATAGTATCAGGCCCCTTTGGTTTGCCTTTGGCGGGGAAATGCATAAAAACTGGGGCCGTATTGAGCTTTAACTAAAAAAAAAAAAAAATTGAACATAACCTCAACAAATGAAACCCCACGTACCATTTGGAAAATGTCTGAACCCTCGTCAAAATCAACAACCCCAAAGAATAATTTGTTGCTGTATGCTTGCGAGTATCTGAAAGATGTGGCAACAGCGGAGAATTCGTCGTTGGCCTGCCTACAAACCATGCACTGCCTTTGAGCAGCCATCGCAGTAAACATTATGATAACGGAGTAATTTCTAGGGGCAGTTTTAACAAATTCCCTGAATTTGTTGGCATTAAACCTTAAAATAGGCCTCTTATTGGTCATGTCTGTTAACTGCTGGACCCTTTCCGCAAGGGTTGAACCCTGAAAATCAATTTTCAGTAATTTTCCTGTTGTAAAACGTTCAAAAAAATTACCTGTCGTTTTCCCTGCGCGTCCACATTGTACAAAATAACTGTGGCTATCAGTAGAAGGCCTAATTTTAACGCTTTCATTGCTATTTGTACTCTAATAGGACTCCGGTAAAATTTATTTATCAAGGAATGTCAAAACTGTCAACGTGTAACCTCATCGGCAGTGCTGCCAATACAAAACAACAACCAAAGAACAACCGCGAAATTTGAAATTCCGTGGATTGCGCGATCCAAGTTTAGAACCATTTTTTCTTCTCCACTGAGTGAACAGTTTAAGTAAATTTTTTTACATGGAGCAAAAAGAAATAACACACAATTATTTCCTCGAACAAGGTTATTTCTATGCAGCAAATAAATATTATTTGATATCAACTGCGAATATTATGACATTTGAGCATAGGGATCTTGATTAAGTAATTATTTATTGCTATTTCATTATATTCTGATAAAATGTACAATCAAAATCAGTGTTACGCATACAAGATAAACATGAATTGACCTTTCAAAGCTAAATTACCATACTAGTAAGATTTTTAAGCGTTATAGTTTATACAATAAAAAACAATTGTGCGAGTAGTTCAATTAACGTAAAAATGGCAGCCCAGGTACAAAACATACTAAAAAACGCTGATTGTGTTTGCTTCGACGTCGATTCCACGGTTATAAAGGAAGAAGGAATAGATGAGCTCGCCAAATTTTGCAATAAAGGCACCGAGGTTGCAAATTTGTAAGTAATTTTGGGGAAAACGGTTGAATGCCAAAAAGTACTACTTTTAAAGTAGGCATGATTTCGCAAGAGTAGGCCTACCTGGTTAATCATGGGCGTGCTAAAAAAGGGGTCAAATTTCGAAAAAATAATGGAAAATATTTTTTTAGGACTGCCAAAGCTATGACCGGTTCAATGACTTTCCAGGAAGCTCTTAAACTACGTTTGGACATAATTAAACCCAGTTTAACCCAGGTTAAGGATTTTATAAGGACTCAACCGCCGACTCTGACACCTGGAGTTAAGTATGCGTTATTACGTCATTTTTAGACATTTGTTTAAAAAAATATATATTTTAGAAAACTCGTTGACTTATTACATGGAAAAAACATCCCTGTGTATTTAATATCTGGGGGATTTAAATGCATTATAGCTCCAATAGCGGCCCAGCTGAAGATCCCATATGAAAATATTTTCGCCAACCGGCTGACATTTTATTTTACAGGTACCTATTAAAAAAACAAAAACCGTATTATAATTAATTTTTTTTTGTTAAGGTGAACATGCTGGTTTTGACGTAAACGAACCGACATCCCGTACCGGCGGAAAAGCTGTCGTTGTTAACCACTTAAAACAGACCCATAACTACCAAAACGTCATTTTGATTGGCGATGGTGCCACCGATTTAGAAGCGTCGCCACCTGCCGATGGTTTTATAGGTTAGAATCCGTCAACTGTCATTTAACTGTCACTGATCGAATTTGTTTTAGGTTATGGCGGTAACGTGATTCGGCAAGCTGTCAAGTCCAAGGCCAAGTGGTACGTCACTGATTTCAACGAAGTAATCGACGTGATTAATTCTTGATTTTTTTGTTATTAATGGTTATTAAATATATTTTTTTATTTTAAAATAGATTATTTGTTTAATTTTTGTTGATTAAATTCAAGGTAAATTTCAAGCGCGTTAAGTAAACAGTAGTTTTTCAGATAGATATAATCAATAAATAAATACACTTCAATTTTGTAATTTAGTAAGTAAATATCTATGTATTAGAAATAAATATTGGAAATGTGGAGCATAAAAAGTATTAATCATTCCCTAAAAAAATAATCGAAGAATTTGTTTTATTAAAAAGATTCTACCCCACGCAATTATTTAAATTATAAAAAAATTAGAAAACGTTTCTCCCACAACTTGAATTTTAGTTAAAAAAAATCAACATCTAAAACAATTGTTATAGAAACAAATATGTGAGACATCTGACAACTGTCAAAAAGTTCTAATCTCACTTTTTTTCAATTTTAACTTAACGCCAATTCAGCCCCTGGGCAAAGTAGAATTTTAAGCCATTCTTATTTAATATTTTATCTAACATTAGTCATCTGTCAGCGTCACTTTGTTTCAATTTTAATTTAAAGCTAACTTCAGCCCGTGGACAAAATGCTATTTTGCTCACTTGTTTATTATTTCTTGGGGATTTGAATATTTTTTTCCACCTGTACAGATTTTTTTTATAATATCGCAATAAAATACCTGATTGCATTATTTGCCCACACAATATAACAAGAATATAAAAAATAAGAAAATCAATGTTTGTTCAAGCATTTTTATCAATTTTTTTCGTGAAAATTCAGATAAATTTTTCATGTTGCGTAATTTCACAAATAAAATTTAAATCTTTCGAACGCAATTGGTTTAATATTTATCGATATCTAATATCAATATGGGCAAGGTATTTATATAAATACCTTTCAAGACAAAATTTAAGTCAGTTTTCGTGAGATATCGACCTCTTCAAAATCGGTAAGAACACTTCAAATAAATGTATAGATTTTGGTGTAAAATTGTTTTATATTTTTGCAAAAAAATTTATTTATTTATATTTTAGCATTTTTTCATAAAAAATCACAATAATAAAAAATATGCAATACTTTTGGTCATAAGTGTACAACACTTAATGCTTTGTCAATAGTATAAATGTTACTTTTACCTCATTGTGTGATTTAAGATAAAACTTAACAGATTAGTGTTTTTGTAGAACGACTTTATAAAATTTTAAACGTTTATTCATAAGGTAGGAATTTAATACAAATTTATTTTTTCAGCTATGAAGTTATTCTAATGAAGTGACTAATAGGTGGAAGTGCCAGATTTTAGCAATAATATAATGCCAGATCTAACTCTTCCATGTGTTGGTTACTTTAAGTTACACCCAGTATACGTCAATTTTTTGTATTTTGTTCAATTCTTTAATTAATTAATATATAAATAATATTAATATTTTTAATACTTTCTTGTAGTCATGTAGTCCCAATACATTCCACTTGTTACAATACTCTTATCAGTTAATGCTTGATCAAATATTGATGACACTTTTTGAGTGTTTGTTTAATAATTATTGGTATTTGGTGTAAGGTGTCACAAATAAAATTGATATGATCGAAGATGATAACGAATTTTTAAGGCCAGTGGAGAAGTGGTCTCTACACTTGATTTGAAATAGTGAGATTCAACTCCTCCAACTTGCCTTTTAGATTAAAAAACAACGAAAAAAGAAAATCCGAATTTTTATGTTTCCAAATGTCGATTTTTTACAGGAAATCAACGAAAATATAGAATTCTACAAAGTAGGTGGAGAAGTTTTATCTTCACTTTGATTTAAAATAGTGAGATTCAACTCCTCCAACTTGTTTTTTAGATTCAAAAACAACAGAGACGAATTTTAGAACACCCCTGTATATGTTGGAATGAAAATGATTCAATAACAAAATATTTTTTTTTGGTAAAACTCAGTTTTATTTCTAACAAAGAATATGTTATTTTATATAATAATAAATCACATTTAGTAGATAATTAAATTTAATCAGTTTTACCTTAATTACATTTTTTTGACAGGGTCAGGGCTTAAAATAACACTAATGCTCTCTCCAGGAACATCGCTAAAAAACAACAAATATTTTCTCTAGAATTATTTTTACAGGAAAAAAATACCTTGGGTCATTTTGAAGTACAACAAGATTTTCCATGTAAACATCCAGAATACCCAGTGTATTTAACATCTTTAAACCAAGCATAGAAACAACTTCTCTAGAAGATTTTGGATTTATACCCTCCCCAAAACAAAGCTTAAAAATACAAAATTACAACAAAAAAAAAAAACAAAAGATTTTTCCAACTTACAACAGTCGGATTGATCGCCATGGACAACAAAGTATACGATTTTTCGTCTTTTTCGTTTTTCGAAGTCAAATCTAAATAATTTACTTCAAATTGCTTGGAATTCGCCAACTCCAATAAAGTTGTTTGCATGGATTTGACGTTTGTGTTTTTTTTATTTTTCTTGTCAACCGACTAAAATAACGAAGTTTTAAAATCAGCGACTTCTATGGAAAGCAATAAACCAATCACAGCATTTCTCCTAGTACTAGTGTGCTGTGGAAAATGCTGTGATATGATTGGTTTATTGCTTTTTATAGAAAGTAAATTCGCTTTTTTTAGATACCTATACCTAAATAAGATAAAGAATGGAGCATAATTTAATATCTATGAAATGGAGACGAATAATTGAGGTTATGTCAGTATAAATGTCATCTAATTTTCTAAAAATAATACAATACAATTGTAGGTAGGTATTCTAGTATTAATACCTACTTTATATTTTTTTTTATAAAGTTAGACCTAGGCTTTATCCAGATAGATATATAACCTCAATTAACTGTATTTAAATTTCAAGGTGGGACTTTAAAATTTGGGTGTGAAGCATAGTTAAAATTTTAATTAAAATTACTTACATTTTCATTATCATTATCAATGTTATCATTTGAAGAAACCTCATTTTGGTCATTATTACCAAAAATGCTTCCAATAATATTGTTTAAGAATGTTCCATCCTCATTTTTATTAATATTGTTATTTTCTTCTTTATTCACTTTATTTTTTTTATTTTTCTTTTTTTTAGTTTTTTCCAAATTATTATTATTAACACTTCCAACATTATTTATTTCCTCATTCATAACCAAATTAGGCAAATTTATTACCATATTTTCTGCAGCATTTTTCTTTGAAGCCTTTTTTGAACCCCCTTTCCCAAAAGTTACAAAATCACCCAACTTGCACTCAGTAGTGAACTCTTTTTTATGTGCTGCACCACTTTCTTCGACAATATTAAAAGAAACAACCAAATTATTTTTTTGAGCCGCCTCGTAAATTCTGGAAATCGGATTTTTAACAGTTTCTTTAGCTTTTTTGCATTCCGGTCCGTTTTCTGCAATTCAAGGTTATGTTTGACAAAAGAATACCATTGTCATGGCAACCTAACATGTTTCCATGGCAACCTGACATGTTGCCATGACAACCTAATAAAATGTCATGGCTGGTAGTTTTTTACTTACCGTCTTTAAAACAGGGTGATTCTTCATGCATATTATTTATTTTTATGCTTTCCAAAGCTGTTGTGGCTGCCTTATGTTTGGCCTCTTGTTTTGTGTGGGCTGTGCCAATGAATTCCTCGTTTCCCAACGTTACAACCACGGTAAATGGGCCTTTATGGTGCTGGTCTATGGATTTTGCCATTTTGATGTGTTGATCATCGAGAGTGTCGTTCATTTTTTGTATGTACGATTTTTTTGGTTTCACTTCTGTGGTTTGTGTTACCTGATTTATCTTTGTTAAAAAGAAAGTTACGTTTAAATAATAAATAAGTAAAATCAATTGTAATCTGGGTTGCCTACCCCCTGCAATTTTGCAAACAATGAGAAACCCTGTATATTATTTTGCTAAACACTAAAAACTTTATTTAACTTACAAATGGATTGATGAACTCATATTTAACCTCTAAACCAAGTTGGTTGGCAATATTGTTTAATAAAACAGTTGGAGTAAGATCGTTGATATTTTTTGGTGCGGGGTGTTTAAATACTGAATTTTGCAATGCTTTAGAAGCTGCCTCCTTTTGAGCTGCCTTCAAACTTTTTCCTGTACCTTCATATTCATCTTCTCCCAATTTAAGAAGAATGGTGAACTCTTTTTTATGTGCTGGGCCCTAAAACGATAAAATTAACACGACATTAAATAAACACTGATTTTTAACTTCTTCTTTGATAAGAGTGTATTTGTATTTAAGTCCATTAAAAACGGCCAACTCGTGTAGCTGTGCGAGTTTAGTCTGAGCTTGTTTGTCGAATAAAACTTCCCCGATTGAATGATATGGTTTTTCTTCAATATAACCTTAAACAGGGTAAAGTTATTAAAATCACATTAACAAGCGTTAATTTTTGCATTACTATCGTCAATGATGTCTATGGAGTCCCCACTTGAAGCAATATAAGCTAAAACAGTAGAAAATAGTAAAAAATAAGTATGTTTACTAATATTGTAGGTACCTGGTATGCATGGATTGTTTTTGAACTTGTTTTTAATCTCTTGAATGCTTAAACCGTTATTGGTTGCAAAAGAAAGACAAAACAAAGCAAAAATTGTGAAGATATCCATATTTAATAATTTGTGCACTAATAACAAAGCCGGTATACAAGCATTTTTACTATTTGGGGATTTACAGGAAAACAAATATGACAACTTGAAGGTGCGAAATTATACTAAATTATTTGAAAATTATTTAAATATTTTTTATATTATCTATAATAATAAATCATTTTAAACTTTGTAAAGTTAAAATTAAACTATGGTTAATTATAAAAATAAACAAATAAAAAACAATTTAAATCGTAAAATCACACAGTAGTTCAAATGCACCACACCGACGCATGCGCATTGCTCTCTAGTTTACGCAACTTTTGACATTTGACATCTGTCAATTTGTTATGTAAAAGTGTTGTGGGCCCCCTTAGAAATGGCAAGTTTATTTCGTGTTGGAGTGTGCCGTTTTGTAGGCAAAAACGGTAACAATTTGTTGCTTAAAAATGACAACCCAACGCATTTATTGAGAACTATCACCAGTAAAACCATGATGAAAGGTGATAGGCCCAAAAAGCCTGAACCGTACCCTTACAACACGAAGAAATACGGTTTTTTGAAATCTCTAATCGATAGGACTACGCCTAGAATGGATGAGAACTCTAAGGTGAGAGTTCGGATAAACTCTAACCTAACATTATGATATTTACCATATTTTAGCTGTTGGTTGTTGAGGGGCCTATAGCCGCAGGTAAAAGTAAGTTCGCGCAAGAGTTAGCTAAAGAGATGGGTATGTTGTACCTACCTGAAGCCAATTTAGACATGTATTACATAAACGATTACGGTTTTGATTTGCGAACGCTCGACAATGAAATGCCGGAGGGTTGTAAGAGTTTTGATGTTATGGATTTCATGAGGAACCCGCAAAACATGCTGACGGCGAGAATGCAGCTGGAAATATACGAAATAAAGTAATTTTAGCGGTTTTTGTGTTTTTTTGTCTCTAATGTTGTGTCGATAGGTTTTCACAATATATTGATGCTTTGGCGCACATTTTGAGCACTGGGCAGGGTGTCGTTTTGGATAGGTGCGTTTTATCCGACTATGTGTTCACCGAGGCCATGTACAGTTCGGGTTATTTGTCCAAACGAGGTAAAAATTACGTGGAAATCATGTTTTTGTTAATTTTCTCTTTTTAGCCCGCAGAAAGTATTACGAATACCGCGATAATACAGTGAGGGAGTTATTGAGGCCCCACTTAGTAATCTACCTTGATATGCCGGTAAAAAAAGTCATGGAAAACGTTCAAAAGCGAGGCATCAGTTGGGAGAAGAATTCTCCTGTTATAACCCCCAAATATTTGGAGTGCATGGAGAAGGTTTACAAGCAGGAATATTTGAAGACTATTAGGTATGTATTGAGTTAAAAAACTGTATTATTATTATTATTAACTGTGAAATTAGAGTGAGGTTATGTTTTTTAGTACTCACTCTGAGTTGTTGGTTTATGATTGGTCTGAGCAGGGGGAAGTGGAAATTATCATTGAAGACATTGAAAGAATCGATTTTGATAATTATGACTATCAAGATCCCAAAATGAAGGATTGGGATTTAGCCAGAGAGGAAGATTGGAATGTACTAAGGCGTTTGTGAGTTAATTTAATTTTTCTTATTTTTTTTTGTAATTTCTCCCAAAATATGTTTTATTTTTATAGGTATGCAGACCAAAAGGAAAAATTAATGAGTCTATTTAATATTCCTTGCTATGAAGTACCAGAATTAATGATAGAAGCTGAAGATGCCGATAGGTACTACCAAGTATTACAAAGTGTAAGTAAACAGTATTTTTTATACGCTAAACTTTTAATAATCAGCTGTCAAACGCTTACGATACAAACGAGTGTTTTTGAGAATAAAGCCGGAAAATGTTAAAAAATATCGGAAAAAAACCGTGGCTCGATTTGTTGTGTTGTTGGGTGTATTTCGAGAGGAAATCCTGGGTTGAGTTTTTACCGTTTTTCCAATAAACAGTGTTAATCCGAATGAATAAATTGCATACAGTCTCTGTAAATATAAATTGTACCTATTAGATACAATAATTAACACATTTTAGTAGTGATTAACGTAAAAAGTGTAAACATTTCAATTCAATAAAAATCGTCAAACAAATGAGTCGTCTAAATTTAAACAGCATTTAGCATTATTAAAAGCGTTGATTAAGAAAGTCTCCACTCAACGGTAAAATACCATTATATTATGTATTATATAAAATATTATGTTGCCATGAATTCGTAGGTATATTTTGTTGTTTAAAATGCAGTTGTCGGCGTTTTTTAGAGAACTCAAACATAAAAATGGTTGATTTTAAGGTTATGTTTGTATTGTTTACTAATTTCTTGAAACTGTCCAAACTTAAATATAAATTATATTATAGGTAAAGTTATCATTAGTTAATTCTGCACCAACAAATGTACTTACCGAATTGGATCCTTTGGCAAAACATGAAAATGCAACGATTTAGTTCTTGAATGTTATTTACAATTAAAAACACAATAATTCACCATGATCCCTTTGATAAAATACACACACTAACGTAACTATATAAGCATTTAAGCGTTGAGTTTCTTAATCAATGATATAAGAAATAATCAATCGAAATCGAGTACTAAAAAACATTTTTATGATTTCTAGGCTCCTGGTATGAAATATGATAAGGGTTATAATGTTGATCAGGGAGATCAAGGAGTGTTGTTGAAAAGTTCCAACCCCCCAAGAAATACACTGCCATTGAGGGAAAGAAGGTAACAAATGATTTTTGTTGTTGAAATTCTCAATATTAATATATTTCTTTCAGGCAACTTTGATGCAACTTGTAAATACAATGTAAAGTTTTTTAATAAATAATTTAATTTAAATGTTAAATAAATCAATACAAATTATACCATAGCTTGTTTATTTATTTATTCAAATATACTACAAACATATTCACACCAATAACTCTCATTTTTTCTTTCCCATTGCCATGGATATCAACGTGTAGTAACTTTGAATCACTCCCATGCCTATCAAAGTAGCAGTTACAATGAAGAGTGCTTTATCTCCAAACCCCGATTTCAGGTAAACTGGGACGCCATTATCCTCTTGGTACGCAGTATTCTTGCGCAGAATCGCTTCTGTTGGTTTGCTGTAAGCTCTCGCGCCTTTTAAGGCTTCCCGAGAGCCCTGAAATACGTACAATGTACTTTGCTATATGCCATCCACAATCTTCCCTACTCTAAGGTTTTACTTTCCCTTTTAAACTTTGACGTTTCTAAAATGTGACCTTTTACAATGTTTTAGTTTTTAATTGCGATTTTGACATTTTAAAATGTGTTCTATGTTCTAAATCAAAAAGTACACGTTTGAAGGTTTGTGTTTGCAAAAGATGCTGAAAATATGTATTGGGAAAAGTAAACAAACAAATTAGGTAGGGAAGAACGCAGTTTTAAATTCTGAAGACTAAAAATAATTTATAATAACCTTTATCCTACCAAAAAGATTATGTCAAAAAAGTTAGCATAATTACAAAATCAACAATGGAAATTGTTAATTTGGCGTTGTTATTAATCGTTTATTATGTAATTTTGTAATGAAGGTAAATTCAAACAAAATCTGGCAACTTATGACAGAATCTAGTGCATTTCTTTCAAATTTTAGGTTATGGGCCCAAATTGTAAATATCTTAACTAAGGGAAGTGCTTTTGATTTATTTACACAAATTGAATGTTTAAAGTTTAACCTGTGACCTTGTCCTAATTTCAACTGAGTAAACAGGAAGAAAAAAAAATGAAAAAATTATTTTTGTGGTTATGGAGTTTTTAAAATGGGTACTAAATTTTGTAATCATTGCTTAAGCTAATAGCTGGATGAGTAAATAAATACAGAAGGGTATTTTAGTTTTTATTTATTTTTGTAATATATTTTTAAAAATTAGCGTTAAACTGACAGATAGATATCCTCAATTATTTGTATTCAAATATCAAGGTGGGACTTTTGGGTGTAGTAGGTACGTCATTCTTAAAATTTGTTAGACATAGGTACACACAAAATATCACAAATTTTTAAATATACTTTATTATAAGTATTTAAAAAAAATAATAATAAAATCAATCTTACCTTTTGCAAAACACGTCCAATCAATGTAGCCGACATTTCCACTGTTACATAGACATTTGTTTCTATTTTTAATTAATCTATTTTCAATTAAGAATTCTTAAGGGGAGGGGTTGCAACTAAATATAAATAATGCACACAATACCAGCGTTAGATTTTTATTGCAAAAACAAAGTAGATTAATAAATAAACCTATATGTATAATAGATTGGGCCAAAAAAATCAACTATTTTTTTTTAAGTATATAAAAAATATGGTTTGGGGCGACAAAAAAAAATTATTGTGAAAGTTTGAGTCCATAATATTAATATTAAGAGGTCTATCATCGCAATTTTATTTTTTTTTCCTCGGCAAGTTTTTGTCTCAGAACTCCCAAACCATTGAGTTTAACAAAATTGACTTGAAAATATTTTTTTTAAAAATTAAATGCTCTACAAAAAAGGTTGAAAGTGAAATTTTCCGTCAGATGAACCGTTTCCTTAAAATCATGCCTTAAAAATTGGTATAGTTTTACATTTTGATCTTTTAAATTGGAATTTTGTAATTCATGTAAAAATCAGTACCCATAAAAAACCGATAAATATTCTTATGGGAAATCAAATGCCTTACAAAAAAAGCCTCTCAACATTTTTGCCTAAATTCACTCAATCAAAAGTTATTCAAGGTTAAAATTTCGTTTTGACTTCAAATTTAACCTTGAATAACTTTTAATTGAGTGAATTTAGCCAAAAATGTTAAGAGGCTTTTTTTGTAAAGCATTTGATTTCACATAAGAATATTTATCGGTTTTTTATTGGTACTGATTTTTACATGAATTTTAAAATTCCAAAGTTAAAAGATCAAAATGTAAAACTATACCAATGTTTAGGGCATGATTTTAAGGAAACGGCTCATCTAACGAAAAATTTCATTTAACCTTTTTTGTAGAGCATTTAATTTTCTTAAAAAAATATTTTTAAGTCAATTTTGTTAAACTCAATGGTTTGGTAGTTCTTAGACAAAAACTCGTTATGGACTCAAACTTTCACCATATTTTTTTTTTGTTACCCCAAACAATATTTTCGATACAATTTACAAAAAAAAATAGTCGATTTTTTTGGCCGTCTAATGTATAATTCTTAGTAATATCAGTGTGGATTAGTACCAAAAAATTAGTAGGTATAAATAACACTTTTATACAAAATAAGCAGCCAGTTGAGCCATCTTATCCTTCGGTGGGCGGCCTCTGCCCCCCCTGCCTCGGCCCCTGCCCCCACCACCGGCAGCCTTGCCGCCCCTGAAGGGTCTGGGGGCCCTGGAGGCCACAGCCGCCTTTGGTTTGTCGACCAGTCTCCCGAACTCGTTGCAGCAGAAAACGCAACCTTTCGCTTCCAAAGCTCCGTTCGGTAACTTCGTCTTTTCCGCTTTGTATTCGACGTTTACCATTTGCGAGCCGCAGTCGCACGTATCTTCGAGCACGGTTATTTTTTGCGCGTCGTCGAAGAGGTTTATTATAGTGTCGCATCTAAGGAAATAAATCAGTTTGAAAAGGAAAATGACGGAAAAAGAATTGTAAATACCTATTGCACCCCAATTTCCATTTTGGCCCGGACGATGGGTCCAAAACGAGGACTCCGTATTCGCATTCCGCGCAAGCGCATACGCCATTTGAATTTAAACTGTATGCGCAAGTCGGGTGCGTGCAAGAATTGCAACCGTTGCCCTTTTTCGTATCGCTAAATAAAATGTAAATACATGTAGAACATAATTATTTCATTCGACCAAAAGTGGTTAAAAATCACAAGTGTTTTTAAAAGGTCCCTGATTACAAATATCATTACAATGTTCAAAAAACAAATAGCGGATCCAAAATGAAGAATTTAATATCAAAATTATCAAATTTAAAATGGCAGGCTATTTTGAAAAAAAATAGTTTATTGCCCAGAAAATGTTTATTATGGGGTTTTTGGGGTCGCTGATGGCGGACCTGGTTTCTTTTAAATTATTATTTTATTTCTAAATTTATTTGTTTAAAATTTTTAAGTTTGAAAATTGAAAAATTGAAATATTCAAAATGTATATAGGTACCTGCAAAAATTTATATAAATATACAATATATTCAAAATTTTTAAAACATTCACTTCAAAATCTTTAATCCAAAATTTCCAGTTTTTGAAAATTCCAAAAATTCGTAAAATTTTCAAAATATCCAATATTATTAAAATTACCAAATTTTCCCAAAGATTTTAAAATTTACCAAGATTTCAAAATATCAAAAATTTCCAAAATTACCAAAATATTTAAATTTTAGAAAATTTTTAAAATATCCAAAATTTTAGAAATTTACCAAATTTTTAAACATCAAGCCAAATAGTGGCAATAGACATAAATAATATAGATCAAAATTTCAAATATTTAAAATTTACAAAAATTTTAAAATACCCAAATTTTCATAATTTACAAAATTTTTAAAATCTTCAAAATTTGCAAAATCTTTGATTTTTACAAAACTTTCAAAATTATATACATATTATACAAAATTTACAACAAATTTAATAATTCAAAATTTTCAATTTTTTAAAAAATTTCGAATTTTATAAAATTGTTATAACAATTGAAAATTTTGAATAATTAAAATTTTGTAAATTTTGTATAATATATTATTTTGAAAGTTTTGTAAAAATCAAAGATTCAATATTCAAAAAAATTTAAATTTTTTTTAAAATTTACAAAAATTTTCAAAATATACTGATTTCAAAATACCCAAAATTTACAAAATTTTAAATTATTCGAAATACCACAAATTTTCGAAATATACAAAATTTACCGAATTTTAAGCGTAGGTACCTTAAAAGTTCAAAAATCAAAGATAAATAATGTAGATAACAAATTCAAAATTTTTCAAATATTCAAATTTTGCAAAAATTTTAAAATATCCAAAATTTCCAAAATCTAAATAATGTAGGTAGATAAAATAATGTAATTAAATATTCAAAATTTACAAAAATTTTAAAATATCCAAAATTTTTAAAATTTACGAAAATTTCAAAATAACAAAATTTTTGAAAACATCAAAAATTTCCAAAATAAATTTTTCAAAACATTATGCCAAAAAGTGGCAAAATAATGTAGATCAAAATTTCAAAATCAAAATTTACAAAAATCTTAAAAATTACCAGGATTTCAAAATTTTCCAAAATTTTTAACAAAAAATTTTCTTTTAAATATCCAAAATTTGTTTTAAAATTTTAGAAATACTTTTTAAATGTAATAAATAAAAATCAAACAATTATTATTTCTTGAATTGAAACAATAAACATTTCAAAATCAAAAATTATGTTGATTTTTTTTGATTTTCTTAATTAAAATCGATGATTTTTGATTTTATTAATAAAAATTATCGATTTTTGATTTTTTTAAATCATGATTTTTTCTAACCCATGGACTTATTGAGCCTATATATTTACCTAAGCTAAAATTTTATGTTTTGTTACTCACTTGAAAGGTGGATTGTTGTAGCAATAAGGACAAAAAACAAAACTCTTCCCTTTATTTCCCATCGTCCAGCAAAGTAACTCGAAATCGTCCAAAGGACATTTCAATTCCTTAAACAATTTTACCGTACCATTTTGAGGCAAACTGAACGTCTCGTCGCATTGGGGACAATGCAGTCTTTGAGGTTTGGCCTGTATTAGTTTCATGTACCTTCGACATTTACCGCACCTAAAAAAAATTCGTCAGCAATCCACCGTACGTATACAGGGTGTTTACAGTACCTTGAATGTGCTTTACCGCTAGCGCTAAGCGGCGAAAACGAAACTTCGAAAAGTTGGTCCATTCCGTCGATGTTTTTAACGAAATATTGAAATTTCAGTTTGAAAATTTCTACAGTGTGTTTTAAAACAGCCTGGAAGTTGGCTTTTCCAGCTGCTATTAAGTTTAGTTGTTCCTCAACGGCGGAACGCATAGTTGGCAAAACTAGTTGAGAGTCAATCTGAAAAAAATTACCCAAAATTCTTATGGCACGCCATTTATTATATGATATTTTTAAACTATTTTGGTAGAAACAGTTTTATTTGTTTTTATTTTAATACTAAAGAAATTAACTTTACCAATTTAATCTAACTAATTGTATTAAATATTTATTAAAGATTTACAAAATAAATTATACTTAACACGATGGTCATCAAAACTTAAGTATAGGACGAAAAAAAATGCCAACCAAAACTGAAAGCATATTTTGATTATAGACCACTAACATGTATTTATCAAAATCCCAGCTGATCCTATTTTTAAGTTTTGCAAACTTTTTTGTTTTTCTATATAGATAAAGAAAAACAAAAAAAATATAGATATAGAAAAACAAAAAAGTTTGCAAAACTTAAAAATAGGATCAGCTGGGATTTTGATAAATACATGTTAGTGGTCTATAATCAAAATATGCTTTCAGTTTTGGTTGGCATTTTTTTATAGATCTATATATTATTTTGCAATTATTGTACTAAAACTACCTGTACAATTTTAATAAAACTAAGCAAAATAATAAACTTTGTATCATTTAAATTACTTTACTCCCCAGTATTAATTTATTGAGTCACCTATTATTTTTTACCACTGAAAACAAAACATAACAAAAAAAAAAACCGAAGATTTATATCTTAAATATTTTTTATAACAAAAAATACTGGAAATTTGTCTATGAAATAATTACAACTTGCAAATTTTGTAAAACAATAATTAAGGTGGTTATGAAAAAAATCGCTATACGTTATAACGCAAGTGACATTTTGCTTTAGTTGTTTATTTAATGTATACTTTATAAAGTTAAAAATAGTATTTTAAAATGAAAATTAAACCGAAATTCAAGTTAAGCCATGAAGAAAATCGAAAGAAGGTATGTGCTGGCTGTGGAGACAAAATTGTTTTTGGTAATCGAAAAGTTCAGAGTTTAGGGTTTCTGAGAAAATATAAATATTACTGCAGACTTTTTCAAACGAACACTTTAACTTAAGTGATTCAAAATTACCTACTTCAATATGGTAAAAACGGTATTTTTCCATAGCCACAATTGCCAAATTTTCAAAATTTAGAAATTGCTAGAGAATTTCGCGGCAGCCAAGAATGTATGTGCTTTATCTGCAAAATGGCAAGATATAATGGGCATAAAAAATTATTAAGGGAAGACGGACGAACGAACTAAAGTTTTGACATGCTCTTCCTTTCTAGGGGATATCGCTAGATGTAAGAAGCATATTTGTACAGACTCTGTACTACAGAGACTGAACAATTTAAAAATACTGTTTCCATGTTAAAAACAATTCCATGTAAAACCCAAGAAAAAGTTTTACTGAAAATTTAAGGCAAGCAGTAATCGATTTTGCTTCAAAGAATCTTTAGTTATTTATTAGTTTTGTATTAGATACCTTAAAACAATAAATAAGATATTGCAAACTGTATTTTACATTATTTTGTATTTATAATGTAATTTATCCATATTTCAGTCATGTACCTGCCAAATTTTTAAAAACATTTGATAATGGTACTAGAGTATTTTATCGAAATGGCATAAACAATTTTAAAATACTAAGAAAACTTTAATAAAGGATCAGCTGGGATTTTGATAAATACATTTTTGTGTTACCAAAAGAGTCTATAATTATAATCAGATTATGCTATCAGTTTTGGTTGGCATTTTTTTTCGTCCTATACTTTAGTTTTGACCACCGTGTTAAGAAATTATTTTTATTAAAAAATGATGGAAATGTTTGTAAAAATTGATTGGAAATAATATTGTATAATACAGAAGTAGTAAGGAAAATTTGAAAGCAAAAAATTAAAAAATTAATTAATAAATGTTAAAACGGCGTGCCATACATTCTACTGTTAAAACCTTTCCCAACAAATAAAACATCGTGTTTTGGCTAGGAGACAAGTTTAATTGAAAAATAAAAATCCTATATTCTGATTTTCTGACTTACCTTTTGGTATCCGTGCACCAGGACGATGCCCAGCGTCGTAGGTTTCAACTTTCTGCCTGTGGGGGTGACGGTCACGTAATTCCGCTGGCAGATGTTGTTTATGTGGACGGGGATGGAGGCGTCGGTGCCGATGCCGTGTTTTTCCATCAGGGTGATCAGCTCGGATTCGGTTAGATAGTCGGGAGGGGAGGTTTGGTGTTCGGTCAACCGGACCTCTTTCACGGGAACCGACTCGTTTTCGCTTAGGTTCGGGACTATCTCGTTTTTGCCGAAGGCCTGAAAGAAAGAGATATGGGCGTGTCCTCTGTCTATTCACTGTTTAGTCTACGGTTATTACCATAGATTAAGCATATTGAGAATATTTTAACAAAATTTGCAAGGTAGCAACATTAATAATAGGAAATACGTAGGTAATTTTCAAAATTTGCAAAAAATTTAAAATGAATTTACAAAATCTTGAATATACAAAATTTAAATATTCAAAATTTTCAATATTTTACAAAATTTTATAAAATTTGAACAAATATTCAAATTATCAAAAATATTTAAAATTTAACATTTATTTTAAATTTTTAGAAATTACGAAATTTTTTTCTTTGAAAATTTTTGGCAAGTAATAGGTATTATTTTATTTCCATATTTATTTATTTAAAATTTTCAAAAAATTGAAATATTAAAAAATTTAAAATATACAATATACATAAATAAAATATAAAATTATCAAAACAATCTTTAATCCAAATATATAAAATATTAAAAAATAATATAGATAATATAATTTTTTAAAAATTATAAATTTTTTAAAATTCTGACAATTTTCAAAATATCCAATATTTTTAAAATTCACAAATTCACAAGATTTCAAAATATCAAAATTTGCAAATTTTTAAAATTTCAAAAAATAATATACATATTTATGAAATTTTTAAAATATGGTAATTTTCAAATTTCCAAAATTACCAAAATATTAAAATTTTTAAAATATTTAAAATTTTAGAAGTACTTAATTTTTAAATATCAAGCCAAATAGACATAGACATAAATAATGTAGATCAAATTTTCAAATATTTAAAATACCCAAAATTTTCAAAATTTACAAAAATTTAATATTTCAATATTTTCAATTTTTTTTAAATTTCAAATTTTATAAAATTGTTAATATTCAGAAAATTTTCATTTTTTTTTTAAATTCACAAAAATTATCAAAATTTACTGATTTCAAAATACCCAAAATTTACAAAATTTTAAATTATTCAAAATAGCACAAATTTTCAAAATATACAAAATTTACGAAATTTTAAGCATAAAATACCTTAAAAGTAAAAAATCAAGCATAAATAATGTAGATAACAAATTCAAAATTTTTCAAAAATTCAAATTTTGCGAAAATTTTAAAATATCCAAAATTTCCAAAATCTACATTATGTAGATAAAATTATGTAATTAAATAAACAAAATTTACAAAAATTTTAAAATATTAAAATATCAAAAATTTCCAAAATAACCAAATAATGTAGATCAAAATTCAAATTTTTTTAAATATTCAAATTTTGCGAAAATTTTAAAATATCCAAAATGTTCAAAATTTACCAATATTTCAAAATATTAATTTTTTTTAAATATCAAAAATTTCTAAAATAACCAAATTTTTATAATATTTTAGAAATTTCTTAAAATATCCAAAATTTGCTTTAATTTTTTTTAGAAATTTGCTAAATTTTAAACATTATGCCAAAAAGTTGCAAAATAATGTAGATCAAAATTTCAAAATTTTTTAAATCAAAATTTACAAAAATTTAAAATTTATTAGGATTTATAATTTTTCCAAATTTACCAAATTTTTATAAAAAAATTATTTAAATTTTAAAATATATGTTTTAAAAATTTTAGAAAGTCACAAAAAAAAATAAACATAAATTTATTTTTTTTTTTAAATATTCAAAGTTTACTCAAATTTTAAAATATCCAAAATTTTCATGATTTCCAAAATTTACAAAACCTTCAAAATTTCCAAAATCTTAGTTTACAAAACTTTCAAAATAATATATTATACAAAATATACAAAAAATTTAAATTATTCGGAATTTTCAATTTTCGAAATTTTTAATATACCCAAAATTTGTAAAACATTCATATTATTATTAACTTTTAAAATAATCAAAATTTACAAAAAAATTCAAATTTTTAAAAAATTTCAAAATTTACTGATTTCAAAATACCCAAAATTTTCAACATTTCCAAGTTAGAAATTTTTGGATGTTAGAAATTCAAACATATCCAAAAAATGAAAAAAATTAAATTATTAATTAACTACCAAAAATCAGCTTACAAGCTCAAAAATTTTTTATTACTCACGTGCCAAGTCATGACGTTGGTAAAACCTGGGTCGATCAGCGTTTTTCCTGTCACGGTAAACATTTCTTCGCCAATGTAAATCGTCGCGGTAGTTGACAGATATTTGCAGTCTTTCGCCAAAGTTCCTATGAAATGCCGGGTTATGTAATCGTACAGTCTCCAGGCATCGCCTTCTAGCTCGTTGCGTGAAGCCGACTTCATCGGAGTTATGGGAGGATGGTCACCTATAAGATGTTTTTTCAAAGAAATATTATGTTACTAGATGAACTTCGTTCCACCTAAAATTCTTTATAAGTGATTATCAAATGAGAAATTTACTATTTAAACTAATTTAAACAATTGAGAACTTTACTATTTAAACTAATTTCTTGCTAAAACAATTGAATGAATGAACGCCATCTATGCAAATTAATTCAAAGTTTTAGGAATTTTGATTTTTCGGTTTTTTCTAATGCATTTTTAATTTAAATTATAGATAGATAGATAAAAACACAAAACCAAAACATTATAATAATTGTGTATTTACCTGCATCATGCCCAGACTTGGGCCTATTCACTCCCTGTGCAAGAATCATTTTAACGTCTTCCCCCCACTCAGAACTATTCTGCTGCTGCCTGAGTGTCCCCCTGAACAAAAAAAAACACGAAAACGTAAAAAACAAAGCACAAAAACTATATTAATAAAATTCTTACACCAAATCGAAATTCTCAGGATATCTTGTGGTCTCAGTTCTAGGGTAACTTATGTAACCCTGTATATACAACCTTTCTGCAATCTGCATTGCTTGGTGGGGCCCCATACCCAAACCTGAACTGGCCACTCTCATTAGCTCTACAGTGTTTAATGCGGCCGGCCGGGGCTTGGATTTTTCTTTTTTCGACACATTTGTAACCCTAAGTTAATAAAATTATTTGAAACATTTTTTTTTAATTCATAAAATTCGGACAATTTTCAAAGAATCTAATATTTTCGAAATTACCAAATTAACAAGGTTTTAAAATTTACCAAGATTTTTTTTAAAATACCTATCCAAAATTAGCAAAATATTTAAAATTTAGAAAATTTTTAAAATATACCTACAAAATTTTAGAAATTCAAGTAATACATTTAACCAAATAGTGGCAATAGACATAAATAATGTAGATCAAATTTTCAAATATTTAAAGTTTACAAAAATTTTAAAATACCCAAAAATTTCATAATTTACAAAATCCTTAAAATATTCAAAATTTTCAAAAAACATTATATAAATTTACAAAAAATTAATAATTCAAAATTTTTTAAAAATTTTGAATTTTATAAAATTGTTAATATTCAGAAAATTTTAATTTTTTTTTAAATTTACAAAAATTTTCAAAATATACTGATTTTAAAATACCAGAAATTTACAAAATTTTAAATTATTCGAAATACCACAAATTTTCAAAACATACAAAATTACGAAACTTTAAGCATAACTATTTTAAGTTAAAATTTCAAAAATCAAACATAAATTATGTAGCAAAAATTTTAAAATATCCAAAATCCACATAAAGTAGATAAAATAATGTAATTAAATTTTCAAAATTTACAAAAATGTCCAAAATATCCAAATTTTTAAAATATCTCCATAACAACAAAATTAATTTTTTCATCGTTTTTTTTCTTTCTGTTTAGAAAAATTTCCAAAATCACCAAAAACTTAAATTTTAGAAATTTTTTAAAATATCCAAAATTTTAGAAATTCAAGTAATACATTTTTAAACATCAAACCAAATAGGGGCAATAGACATAAATAATGTAGATAAAATTTTCAAATATTTAAAGTTTACAAAAATTTTAAAATACCTACCCAAAAATTTTATAATTTACGAAATCCTTAAAATATTCAAAATTTGCAAAATTTTTGAAATTTACAAAACTATATAAATCTACAAAAAATTTAATAATTCAAAATTTTAAATTTTTAAAAAATTTAGAATTTTATGAAATTGTTAATATTCAGAAAATTTTATTTTTTTAATTAAATTTACAAAAATTTTTCAAAATTTACTGATTTTAAAATACCAGAAATTTACGAAATTTTAAATTATTCGAAATACCACAAATTTTCAAAATATACAAAATTACGAAATTTTAAGAATAGGTGAAACTTTTTTAGGTTAAAAGTTTAAAAATCAAACATAAATAATGTAGCAAAAATTTTAAAATATCCAAAATTTCCAAAATCCACATAAAGTAGATAAAATAATGTAATTAAATTTTCAAAATTTACAAATATTTCCAAAATAACCAAATTTTAAAAGGTTAAACTTTAAACATTCAATTTGAGTAAATAAATTCAAAAGCACTTAGTTAAGATATTTACAATTTGAGCACATAACCTAAAATTTGAAAGAAATGCACTAGATTCTGCATAAAAGTTGACAGATTTTGTTTGAATTTACCTTTATCACAAAAATGACACAATAAACAATTAATAAAATCTCCAAATTAACACTTTGCATTGTTGATTTTCTCGTTTTTGTAACTAAGTTAAATCTGTCCAGAATCTGGAATCACTGGTTGTTACCAACCATAACATAATAAAATTCCTAGTCGATCAGTGGCGTACTTTTTGGAAGGATTTTAGTCTTTGGAATTTAGAAAATAGAATACTTACTTTGCATTTCTTTGGTCTTTGATCATTTGTAGAAACATCAAGGCAACTTCCCTATCGAAACTGCGCCCTCTCTGCCACTCCAAAGAAACTTCCTGCCCATCTTTTGTGGTTATGTTTGCTTGCACAACCCAGTACGACTCAGGTTTGAAAGTCTGAATCTGGTCGTGGCGTTGCACGCAAAAACCTAAAGTAGGCGTCTGACAGGGGCCGTATGATATCAAGGAGGCGTCCAAATCCCCGTAGCGACCTTGAAAAAACTTGGTCTGAAACCTTGTAAAGGCGCACCCGATCCTAAGATCCAACTCTTGTCTAGCGTCTACACTTTTAGCCTCATTCTCATTGGGTTTTCCGAGATTGTTAAAAGCCGCTTTGATGTCTTTATCGGTGATGGCGGAGAATTTCGCTCTGTACGTTACCGAGTCGGATAAAACGTTACCCTTCATGCTACTCGCAACGGAATTCATAACCTCAAAACATATATTTTCGCCCTCTTTATCGCAATCGAGCCACAATACCAAGCAATCGCAGCCCTTGGCTTCTGCGGCCAAAAACGCAGGCATTTTTAGCTTGGGCATCGCCTCTTTTTTCTCTATGGCGCACCCAAACAACTCTACGGGATCAACACGATCCCAATTGTTGTATTTACTTATAAAATCCACCCCAAGCACATGCCCGCACACTGAAGTCATTTTGAACCTCGCCTGCGAGTTTTTGAACGTCCCATTCCATTCGTGCACAGAGCAAGCCCCATTAAAACCTAAAAAAAACAATCAAGAATGTTATGTTATGTATAATAAAATTCACTTAATTATACCTTTTCTTGATGTGTTTTTTCCATTGCTTAATATTTGCGCCAAGGACGCCGCCAGAGACGGCTTCTCGGCCACCATCAAAACAGATAGCATTTTATTTAGACAAATTTAGGTTCACTGACGTTTTACATAACCTCAACTAACTGTCACAAAGGTGGGTTAGGCTTCTTCTTCGTTTTACAGCGTTGCCAGGTTTGACGTTTTTCACCGTATTTGGAAAATTTTTACTTTACTTAACTCTGACACTGTCAAATTGACAGTAATATTTATTATTGATAATTTACTTTTAATTATTATATAATATCGATATAAAAAGATAACTGTGCCAAAAATATTATCAGATTCTAAAGTAAAAGAACTTTCAAGGGAAAACTTCATTTCAACGCAGTTATGCCAAATGCCTCAAAAACCAAAAAAGTAACGTTTTTGGTTTTACAAATATTAAATCACACATTATTTTCAACAAAGCAGATCTAATTTTTTTGAAATTTTAAAAAATAAGAGGAAAATAAAAACAAAAAATAAAAATTATTTGCTGCTACATTTCATTTTTTTTTATCTATACTCGTGTTTTTTTGTTAGGTTGGTGGCCTATGCGAGTTTGACTTAGTATTTTTAGTATTTTAAAATTGGTACTTCTGCTAAAGAATTTAATTAAATCAAAGTATGTCAAATTGACAATAATATTTATTATTCATAATTTCAATTATAAATAAAAAGATAATTATGCCAAAAATAATAGCAACGAATTGGAATGTAAAAGCCCTTTTGAGGGCAAAACTTCATTTTGATGAAATTATGCCAAATGCCACAATGGAAGAAAAAGTACATCGCCTTATGGACATTTTTGAAGTAAAAAAGTAACGAATTTGGTTTTATAAATATTACATCACACACTATTTTCACATTATTTACCGTTGGACAACATTTACGTTCACAAAAAATTTTAATTTCTTTTATACAAATTCTTTTCAAAGCGAAGATTATTCTCCTCTAGGAATACTTTCTCTTCTGGGCCGTAAAGCAACCTATATTTAACTACTTTTTTATGATTTTTACTGATCCAAGCACCACCAAAGCCAAATTAATTGCATTTTTAACTACGAATTTCGACAACTCAACTTGACAACTGCACAATGTTAACTACAATAATTTATACATAACTAGCTTAGTTCGTTTTAATCAATGCGACCAACTTGACAACAGATTTTTTTGTAATAATCTGGCTAAAAATGTAACAAATAGGCAACTTTATTTGACCCGAGAAATTTTTAAATATTTAAATAGAAAATGTAATTTTAATTCTATAAATTTTTGTATTATTTTGCTTTTAATTTTGTTAAATTTAATTTATTAATTTATTTTGCAAAGGTTTGTATTATTTGATTGGTAGGTAAATTAAATTACATTCACTAAATTTTGCACCAAAAATCTCTAAAAATGACGTAAAAAACACGAAATCCAAACACAAAAACTGATCCGTTAAAATTAAATTCCTTAACAACTAGGTCACCAATTCAACATCTTTAAAATCCTATAGTTATAACTACAAAATAATTAAAATATCAAGCCACAAGGCACTAAAAATAAACAACAAAATATAGAAACAATCGTTATTTAACAGTAGGTAGGTAATAAATCCCAAAGCAATTCGTCAAAAGCTGAACTAAACCGTAGGGTTGACCTGCAGTGCAGAGGCACGCCACTGGCCAATACCTGTTTCTTAAATTTATAAATTTACCTTTATTATACTACGCCCGTGTGGATAATGTTTACCTCTCCTAAAGTCTCCATTGAAAACACCAAGAAAACCTGTAATTTTGAATGAAAATACACGTGAAAACCGAGTGATTTGGTGCGATATTATGGGATGTTTTCCATCGTGTAATTTAGCGGAGTTTTCGTGATTTCGTTGCCGAAATTCTGTGGAATGTGATGTTAAAACAGGTGATCTTGCCTCGGGGTATATTTGTGACTAAAAATTATGGGTAGGAACTGTTCACAGTTTTGATGAATTTCGTCAATTCAATTTCAGTTATGTTTTGATATCTTTAATTATAAGATTATATATTAAAAGTTATTCCACGTGTAAATTGTTTAGTTAATTAGGTATTACCGCAAGATTATTAACTTATTAATTATGGTAAATTAATTTTATTAGTGTTCTTATCGTTGTTGTTAATGTTAATCTTAGGAAGTAATTTTAAAAGAAAATTCAGGAAAACTTCATGGTTTTTAATTTTTAGTTAAAAATTAAAAAACATGAAAATAAAAAAATTATGATTTTTGTTTTTGAATAAACAATTTAAATGCTGATTTTGCCGTGTTCGTCACAAGTACCTATTTTGATTTTTTTTAAGTAGGTATATTTTATAAAATTCTTGTAAAAGTAGATAAAAAATTACATAATTTTGCACTATTTAATGCATCTTTATAAAATTTAAAAATTATTTAACTTTATTGTTAATACATTTTTTTAAATTTTAATTATACTTTTGATTCTAAATAACTAACATCCCAGGGTAGGTATTAAATTTTATCAATTAGGTACATTTTGTTTGTGCTACAAAATTTGCTATTTATACAAAAAACATGTGTCATAAAGATACATTAAATAGTTTACAAAATAATGTAATTTTTATTTAGGTACTTTCACAAAAATAAAAAGATATTTAAGGCAGTATAAAACCGCCGCTACTGATCTAATTAAATTAAAATTTGTACAGGATCAAAATAATTAATATATAAAACTTACGTTAAAAGTTCATAATAAAATATTAAATAGTTTTCAAAATAATTAATTTTTAACTTATTTTAACAAGATTTTAATCATTTAAACGTTTTTATACAATTGCCGCCACTGGGTCTTCTTTGTGTAGAACTGGCATTTCTTTATTGAACAAATTATATAATTCAGCAACAATTTTTTTCAGCATCCTCTTATATAATTAATGTAAAGATAAAGAAAAAATATGCATTAGAAGTTTTTTATATTTTTTGTGACACGCCACTGGTTACACACTTGTGTTCTGTGAGTACACAGATACCAACAAAAAATAAATAAAAACTCAATAATTACAAAATTCTTATGACGTTAAAGCTCTAACACCCTTCTGTATTTATTTACTCATCCAGCTATTTGCCTAAGCATGATTAGAAAATTTTGTACCTATTTTAAAAACTCCATAACCTCAAAATTAATTTTTTCATCGGTTTTTTCTTTCTGTTTATTCAGAGTAATTAGGACAAGATCACAGGTTAAACTTTAAACAATTTGTGTAAATAAATCCAAAAGCACTTCCCTTAGTTAAGATATTTACGATTTGGGCCCATAACCTAAAATTTAAAAGAAATGCACTATTTGCATTGTTGATTTTTTCATTCGACTTATTTTTTCCTTAGGTAACGATCTAGTAGTGTGATGTGATGGCCCACACAAACAATGCAACTCCCTGCAACTGGGAGTTATCCTCACTGACAAACTTGACGAAGGAAAAATCGCCCGAACAGCACTGGAGCGGAGTAGACCACCTATCTGGACCTCTAAACCCTCTTTGCATTACTGACGCAAATCATGAGATCCTTCGTCCTAAACCAAGAAGGTAGGCCAGTCTATATCTACCTTTACTTTTTGAGTTTTTTTTCTATAGGTATGGGAAATGCCGTTTCCATTTCAGAATTACTAATTGTATAGATCTAGTTATAATTACTAGTTTTTTATCACTCTTAAATTTAAATGAATCGAGATTTTTCTAGACAAAAAAATCACTTTCGATTTTTAATAATATTCATAATTTGCCTGGAGAAGTTATATAGTGTTTATTTGAGCACCTGATGAATGAAAATGTGAGAAATTAACAACAATAACGCAAAGAAAGTAAATTAATTTTGTCTCACAAAGAAAGTGTGGGAAAATATATTTAAATTAATGTGTGCAAATGACCAAATTAAAGGTCAATGTTCATAGTTAATTAACATTGTAAAAATGGCAAAAATATTGTATATTTCTTTAAAATAATTTAAAGTTTGTTAATGTTGAAAACTGTAAAATTTTAAAATTTTGGCTTACTTAAAAAATTTAAAGATTTGGAATATTTTAAACGTTTGAAAAATCTGAAAATTTAAACATATTTGAAAATTTAATAATTTAAAAAAAATGTCCGACTATTTTTGAAATTTATGCCAATGTGCGAATTTTTTCACTATTTCCTACCATTTTTTTAAGTTTTGCAACTGCGAATTTTTTCCTCCATTTTTTAAACTTTTCCTACGGTGCGAATATGTCATACCCTTTTTAAATTTATCTCACTGCAAATTTTGAAAATTTCACCATTTTTTAAATTTATGCCACTGCGATTTATGCGATTTATGCCTACGATATTTAAATTTTTTGCCACCCTGCGAATTTGTCCTACCATTTTTAAATTTGTCTCACTGTGCAAATTTTTGAATTTTGTACAATTTCAAAATTTTGAAAAATATGAAGATTTCGAAAATTTATGAAAATTTAAAAAAAAATTAATAATTAAAAAAAAAATTCCCACCCTGCGAATTTGTCCTACCATTTTTAAATTTGTCTCACTGTGCAAATTTTTGAATTTTGTACAATTTCAAAATTTTCAAAAATATGAAGATTTCGAAAATTTATGAAAATTTAAAAAAAAATTAATAATTTAAAAAAAAATTCCCACCAATTTTAAATTTATACCAATGTGCGAATGTTTCCCACCATTTACCAACTTTATGCTACTGTGCGAATTTCCTACCATTTTTAAATTTTTGCCACTGTGCAAGTTTGTCCTACCATTTTTAAATTTATCTCACTGTGCAAATCTTGGAAAATTTGAAAAATCTGAAATTGACGAAAATTGCAAAATATTTGAAAATTTTAGAAAATTTAAAAAAACAATTCCATCAACTATGAACGAAGTCATGAAGTTTAGTGAAAAAGGCCATTAACTATTTATCTTGACAAAAAATTTTATAATTTTGAAAAAATTTCCCACCATTTTTTAAAGTTTTCTCTTAATTCTGAAAAATTTGAAAAATTTATGAAAATTGTAAAAAAGTTGCAGCATTTTGAATGTTATGCCAATGTGCGAATTTTTCCCACCATTTACCAACTTTATGCCACTGTGCGAATTTCCTACCATTTTTAAAATTTTTGCCACTGTGCCAATTTGTCCTACCATTTTTAAATTTATCTCACTGTGCAAATCTTGGAAAATTTGAAAAATCTGAAATGACAAAAATTGCAAAATATTTGAAAATTTTGAAAAAAATTTGATAATTTTTAAAAAATCTCCCACCACTTTTTAAATTTATCTCAATTTGCAAATTTTAGAAAATTTAAAATTTTTAAATAAAATGTCCATCAACCAAGACCATAGCCATGAAGTTTAGTGACTACGGCCATTAACTATAAAAAATAATTTATCTTGATTATAAAATATTCCTATTAAATGAAATTTAGCCGCATATTAAATTCATTAACAAATTAACAGCAAAAAAGTAAAATTCTCACTTACAATGCCAAGACCAAATCTAATAAAAAATTAGCAAGCGTTATACCAAAGATGATGGCTGATAAGCATAGAAAAGGAAACTGAAACAATCATGGGAAACGTGCTATATTTTAGTACATTGTTAATAACCACCACTGTTATTTTCATATGCTGTTCAAGTCAGTCTCAAGTGAGTCGCTTTTGCTTTCATACCACAGTAAATTCAGTCGAAAAAACATGGTTTGTGATGAGTTTTGTTCGTGTTTACTATGCTTGGAGCTGAGCGGTTGTGAGGATAAGTTGATCGATAAAAATGATGAGAATGAGAATTTTATTTTGAGCGACAAAAAGTTGATAGAACCTCAATTTAAAGCAAAGAAAAAGTTCACGTTTTTTGGGATGGAGGTAAATGTGAATGACGATATTATCAAGCCTGTAATAGCCGAAAAACCGAAGATAATCAAGCCTAAAAGGAAGGAAAACGTCACGGAAAAACCTGAAAACAAACATCGCTCTGTTATCTATGTAAACGATCAGAACAATAACTTTATAAACCCCAAAATCAAGACTAGCGAAGTTATAGACGTAGATATGTCGTTAGAAGCAACAGAAGATTGTAATTTTGTTAATGTTATCTTTAAAAATACTTTCTCATTCGCGAATCAAGTAATAAATGATGTTGAAATGTCTAATGATTACTTCTTGGACATTGAAGACGATGATTTTCCTATCGGGATGGAAGCTGATTTAATGAGGCAATTCATCGAAAGAAAAAGGTGAAACAATACCCAAATTAGGTGTTAACAACGCGTTATTATCCATGGGAAGCATTCAATGATTTTTTTAATTATGACCTCTTTCAGATTGTCTAGCAACTCGCGGAACGAAACAACCTTTACGCCAGAAGGTAAGGCGAACAAGGAAGCGGTTACACCGGCAAACGCCAGGCACAGTTTCACCCCATCAAATGACCAGGAAAGGATGGTATCACCCAAACGTAACATCCAGCACTTATACGTTGCCAACAATGTTAAAACTTCATCGTTCAGCATAGAGCAATCAGACAAGAACAGCAAAAATAACAACCATGATATCAATTCGAAGTACAACATAAGTCAGTCGTCGATTAATATGGTGCCGGAGAGAGACACGGGGCCCAAAATCAACACTGTTAATGCGGTGGGCAATCACAACAACGATGATAATCGGTTGATCAAAACGCATCACCATGTGAGCGTTCAGGAACTTAGGATGCAGGTAATAAGTCAATAAAAGAGATCACCAACAATTTTATGAATGTTTTTAGCAACGTCAAAATTGCAACAACAACCACAACAGTTCCTCTGACGAAAACAGGTCATCCGGACATGCTAGTATGTCGGACACCGGCAACAGCTCACCAAGAGAGCTAGCAAATAATAGATTGACGGCTGGTGTTATGCAGAAACCATCTAGAAATAGAAATAACGTTCAGTATAATAGATCGCGACATAGGGCCACACCTGCCAGAGTAACTACGTCATATAACCGCTCAAACTCAATATTACCTCAATGTTTTTAGCTTCACGTTCCGTGGACTGGCTCTGGAGGTTTGGAAGACATAAAGTTAGCCCTTCAGCAACTTACAATGCGTTCCCACACCAGCACCAGCACTTATTCCAGCGTCAGTGCTGGTTCTGAAAGTTCAGAGCCAGCAATGAGGCGATTGATGCGGCATTCCTCCTTGGAAACCATAAACACCAACATAACGAACGCAGACGAGTTCGTATGGGTGGATTCCCACAATAGACTCGTCGAATTGCAGCATCTGCCCTGGACCAATCACTGTATTTTGAGGGTTCTGCAATCTGGCAGATGCCGGGAGTTGATGAACAGAGTTAGCGTTGAGACTATACCCAGGCTGTCTTATTTGCTTCAAAGAGCTCTTGTGAGATTGGGCAGAGAGACTCAAAGGCTTGCGTCGACTTTAGGCATATGTACCAAGCACGATATCACGGTCTCCTTCAGGTAATGTGGTTGAAAATGTACAGTTACGGAAAATAGTAATGTAGTATTTTGGGTGTATTTCATATTTATACATTTATATTTATATTTAAAAGAATAAACATACCTATGAAACTATCTAAACTAAATGGTCCTGTAAGGGTTTAGATCATTGCATAAAAGCTTAAAAGTCAATGAAATGTGCTAAGAAAAAATGATAAATAGCTGGTGAGTTTAATACAATAACAGACATTCGAACTATTATAATGGACATTACTATTTTCCGTGACTGTACGTAAAATCGTCCCTAATAACATGTATGTTGTAGGATTGTTTTGTGTCCTCCCTTGGCGGATTCTTGCATTAAAGCTTGCCTAAGGGCAGCTGCAATGTTGGCTATGTCCGGCGATTGTACTCTAAAACAAAGCAAATCTTTGAGGGCAGGGTTGCAGTTGCACGTTGGACGATTCCATCGTTGGATGACGGATGTAAACCTTTCCAGATTTGTACACGAGTATGTACTGTCCAGTGTCAATCTTAAACCTCATGACATATTTTGTTTCTTCTTGTTAGATACGCAGCTATATATCTGTGCGCGGGATTGGAGAATCTGTTGGAGGAAATCCTGCTTCAATGTCTCCCCAGCGATTCGGACGTAAACCTTACCGCCACTTTGCTAGAACACGCGATAGCCAATAACGGCGATTTATGGGGTTTGTTGCAACCGTACGCCCATTTAAACGCGGGGCGCATAGCCTCGGGAGCCTTGGCGCTGCCCAGATGGGCTTCGGTGTCGAGTGTGGGCTCTTCCTTGAACTCAGGCACACCCGAACCCTCTCTCATGACCACATGCGTGGGCTCTTTAAGCGAGCTTCAAGAGCTGATAGGCAGGATGCAGCCTAGGATACCGCTGTGTCCCAAGGCTGTAAGAGCCTTGTTTTACTTTATGCGGTGCTCGCAGCTGGAGCACGGCGAGCAGGGCGGCAATGCCGTGCAAGAGCTGTGTTACGAACGGGCGTACGTCGTGCTACCGCCTCTGGTGGAGTGGTTACGGGTGGCTACGTCGCACGGTGAGCATAGATTCGCCGCCATTATAGATAAGGACGATATTATGCAGGCTGCGAGGCTTCTGCTGCCTGGCGTGGATTGTCCTGTGAGGACCTTGGGAGAGGAGGCTATAAGAGTCAAGAAAAACACTGGGAATGAGGAGGATAGCATTGAGGCTACAAATCAAATCCAGGTAAATATTTTAGCATCCATTTAAAGTTTAAAACAAAATTCAAATGCAGCTCTTTATTTGAAAATCATATTTGAACCGCGAATCAAAATCTACCAACAAATACATTAGATCTTCGTAAAACGCATATGACATGCATATGTGTCGCACATCTCAACAATATAAATAATACAACAAAATCAAAAAAATCAATATGAATATAATCAATTATATTATCATATTGTGTGTACAAAAGCAAATACAAATTGATATAATTATTAATGTACAGCGACAAACAACAATAAATAAATAAATAACAAATGGTACAGTAGGGGACAACAGTAATGCAATTTAGCTGTACAGTAATAAATAACAAATACAATCAGGTATAATAAAGTAATAAAAATATGTCAGTGCAAATCAAATATAGCAAAATAAAATGATTATCCATAAAATAAGACAAATAAACAACAACTTCATATCAATAACCCCAGCTAACCATTATTTGTCAATCTAAATTGGTTAATTGGTAATTATTGGCCTGTCAAAGCAAAGCTTACCAGAAACCATCAATAAAGTTCCCTAAATAACACATTTGACGCACAACTTGACACAAAGTCTCAACATATTAAATAATGAATATCAATTTATCAAATAAACTGTACAAAATAAAGTATGTAACAATATAATGTTATGTCAAAGTTGAATGTAAATATAATTATTATAAACATAAAATAATGATTATTCCACACCAACCACAACCATAAAATACAAAGTACAGCTCATTCCTTCTTTCACAAAGAACAAGATGAAATAATATTAAAATATACCTAGTTTAAAGTAAATATTACGTAATTAACCACATTATGATCTTCGTAATTATAATAGAAACAATATAATTCAAGAGTTAAATCCACTTCCTTCCAACAATTAAAGAATTAAACTATTCTTTTTAAACAGCAAACAGTAACTCTCTAAAATCTACTGTCCTCTCTAAGTTTTTTACATGCTCTTTTTAATGTTTATTTTAAGAACAAAAACTGTACCAAAACTTGCTTATTTGGTCTTTCTGTAACTTACTATAGCACAATAAACAAAATAGAGAGTGTATTGAATTTTAAAGTGAAAACTTAATCTTATCTTTCGTAAAGTACCAAATGGTAAAAATTAACTGCCCATTACAATGATTTAAGGTGGAGTTGGCCTTCAGATTAATGCTGACAGGCACGCCGGAGTTAATACAACAGGCTTTACCTCTATTACCGTCAAAAACCAAACTTGACACTTTAAACGCTCAAGGCCACACAGCTTTAATTCTGGCAGCCATACACAACGATGATTCAGCCTTAACAGTAAGTGCATAACGATACAATTTTGACCAGGTTAAAAAAGTCTCGTCAGGCCCTTTTAGATGCTGGCGCAGACCTGGACACGGAAACTCCGGCACCCAACCCGCCGCATTTTGCGGCTGTCAACGGCGAGAATCAGCACTGGACAGCCCTGACGTACGCGGCTGCCAAGGGCTACACGAGATGCGCCAGGATATTGCTCGAAAGAGGTGCCAGTGTGGACGGCGGTGCTCTGTTGAGCGAGGAAAAATGCACGCTAACACCGCTGCAAGTGGCATGCGGAAGCGGAAACGCAGACATGGTTTCCTTACTGTGTGCTCACGGGGCAAACCCGTTTTTCTCGACGCAAATCAAAGACTCGCTGTGTTACTCAGCTTCCACGCAACGGGGTTGCTACAGTGCTATTTCAGTAGCTGCAGCGCACGGTCATAGAGCTATACTGCAAAAGTTATTGGCGCAACCTCTGGCGCCGGTCAGTAAGGAGATACTGTCGCTGGAAGAGATGCTAGCCGAAGGTTCATCTACAAGTCATTCGAACGCTTCAAACTCAACTCCGCAATTCTCCAAAACCCAAATCAAAGCCCTGCAAGAAGCCATGTATCACAGCGTCGAGAATAACCACTTGGACATAACCATAGAGATTAGGACTCTGGGTGTTCCCTGGACACTACATTGCTGGATGCATTCGCTCGGGGCAGCACACGAGGCCAGGTTGGACTGCGTTATAGATCAACTGTTGCAGGACTTTTTGCAAGTCTGCCCTGATGACTACAGCTCTCAGTTCGTCCAGGAGTGTTTGCCCCTACTGTTCAACATCTTCAGATACAGCAAGGTAAGTGATAGCTGCATTGGAGTTAATATAAACTTGAAAAAGGATGTGTTGAACAAATATTACAAACAAAACACAAAGTGCTTAAAGTACTTTTCGCCAACGATGTTGGCATCTTCAGAAGATAAGTGTACTGTCCGTTCAGGCTAAGTTGAGCGGTCTAAGGAATGTCACCCCGTCCATCATTTCTATGTTCAGGCACAATTAAATACATGTATTTCGGTAACCGCTCTGTACGAACAAACGGCAAGCCGCGGTACTGATAAATCATCTTCTTGCTACCGAAATCTCGCGACAATTGGATGTTTAATTTAATTAACGGCCACATGATCTCCCACCAAAGCGCTCAACTTGGCCTGAACGGACTGTAACTCAGTTACACTTCGCTTCTGAAGTGTTGGGGAATATTTCTAATATTTGTATGACTTCCGTTGTGTTGTAGAAGGAAGGAACCACATTACTTCTAGCCGACATTTTTTCGACATGTTTCGGCTGGGAGCCCATCAAACCAATCAAAGATTGCACTTCAACGCCGATTGGTGGATCCAGGATAGATCCAAAGTACGTTAACAACCCGGAACTGAGTGACGTGACTTTTAGAGTCGAGGGGAGACTGTTTTACGCGCACAAGATAGTCTTGGTGACTGCTAGTTCCAGACTAAGGGCTATGTTGAGTTCCAAGCTGTGTGATGGAGGACTCCCAACTGTGCAGATCAATGATATTAGATACCATATCTTTCAGGTAACAATTCAGCAATACATAGAATGTACTTACTTTAGGCTCTTGTTTGCAGATTGTGATGCAGTTCTTGTACCAAGGTGGTTGCCAAGCTCTGGAACCGGCCCCAGAAGACATTCTAGAGCTCATGGCAGCTGCAAATTTCTTCCAACTGGACGGTTTGCTCAGGTACTGCGAAACTCGCTGTGCAGCTATGTTAGCACTCGATAATGTGGTGTCGATGTACATCCACGCTAAAGTCTACAATGCCATGCAACTTTTAGAGTACTGCCAAGGCTTTCTCCTGCAAAATATGGTGGCTCTACTAACTTACGACGATTCGGTAAAAAGGTTGCTTTTCGCTAAAAAGTTACCCAACCACGATGTTCTGGCGGGGTTATTAAATACGCTTCAAAATAGAATTAAGGCCAGGAGTAATCAGATTAGTTGTAAGTTGAGTTCTAAGAGTCCCAATAAGTTTGCGAATAATTAAGTTTTTTTACAGTTTTGGAGTAAGAATAGTCTAAGATCCCAAGTAAGGTCGACCTTCACCCATCTGCTTACCAGATGAAAATTATATTTTATCAAATAAAATATTTTTCTGAACATAAACCAATAGGGTTGCCATAAAAAATATGATCAAGGCTAGCTATAATAAATAAAAAATTAAAAAAAAATAATTAATTTTTTAAATTTCACCGACTTGCTTGCCAAATGAACGAAATTCCAATGGAAAGCATACAACATACAGAATATGTAACAGCTAGGTTGCCTACCTTTTTCTGGTCCCTATTACCTGGTTGCTTTGTACAGGGTGATCCCCTATAATGTCGCCCCCCTTTAACTTTTTTATTTTAAGTGTCCCAAAAAATTTAAAAGTGTGGTTATGTAGGAACTAAAAAATACTTTTTTTCTACGTATAAAGAAAATTGGAAAATTGATAAGTATACAGGGAAAACAAAAAGTTTATTTTTTTCAATGGATCACCCTATATATGAATTTATTTTTCGATTCCTTGTAAAATTCTAAGCATATTTCATATCAGAGCTGCAACAAGTCAGTTTTAAAAAGACTTAAATCTTAAGTCTTAAGTCAATTCTAAAATCAAAATGATTTAAATCTTAAGTCAATTCTAAGAAAAAGTTCAAATGATTTAAGTATTAAGTCTTTGAATTAAATCATTTTCTTTCAAGTCAAGTCATTTTCGCAAATTCTTAAATCAATATAAAGTGATTTAAGTCATCTTATGACTTAATTCCTTTAGTAAGTCGTTTTTATGACTTAAGTCTATATTTTTTATTTAAATCGTGATCTAAGAGTTAAGTCAATAAAATGACTTGAATCAAAAATTGTGATTTAAATCAAAATAATTACCCTTAAGTCAATACAACGATTTTTTAAATGTTAATAATAACTTTATGGTATTAATGATACTGATATTATTAATCTATTGTAGATATATCTGTATACAGATGATCATCTGTATACAGATGATATAAAAATGATAAATAAACCACTATGTTAAGAATTTAAAACGATTTATTTTCAGAACACTTAGAAAGAAAATAAAAACTTAAAACACATTTTTTGAGTAGACAATCAAAATAAAAACTTAAACCGCCTTTTTTAGTAGAGTACATACAGGGAGGCTACTTTTTTATATACATAAATGGGTAACTTCTAAACGGTAATAGATTCAAACTCTGTTAAAATAGATAAAAGTTACAAATTAGACCTAACGCACGGATAACACGACGAATGTTGGCAAAATAACAAAATTATAAATCCGCATTTTTTAAAATTTATTTTAGACAAGACATTTTTTAATGTAGCCGTCAAACGGTTCCGAAAAGCTAACTTTACCGCGGCGGTTTTTTTATTCACTAGCGGTAGCAATTGTAGGTAGGAAATTAAAGGAGTTTTTCATCTGCTGCCGCGTGAACCCCTGGCAGTTCAAAAGAAAATGCCCCTGTTAAAAATTTATAAAAAAATATATGAAAAATCTGACTTAAATATTTTCTAAAAAGACTTAAATATTTTCTAAAAAGACTTAAATATTTTCTAAAAAGACTTAAATCTTTTTCAAAAAGACTTAAATCTTTTTAAATTACTTAAATAATTTACCGACTTTTATAAAGACTTAAATCTTTTTTTGACTTAAATCGTTTCTATATGACTTAAATCGTATGTACTGATTTAAGCCTTTTATTAATGACTTAAGTTTTTTCTATTTTGAAAAAAAATATTTAAGTCACAAATCATTTTGAAAATTACTTAAATTTTAAGTCTTAAGTCAGTTTTAGAGAAATGACTTATTACCAAATGACTTAAGTCATTAAAACGATTTAAATCAAAAAAACGATTTAAGTTTTTTGAGAGCTTGCAGCTCTGTTTCATATATCATACCATATACCTAAATTCAACCGTTTCTGAAATATTTAAATTATTTTTAAGATAATAAGTTAAAATAGTTTGTTTTTCTCTGTCTGAGTACGCCATTTTTACTTATTTAACAACACTTATTGACATAATGTCACTATAGTAATTTATTTTCAATAAAAATTTTGGTATACTGAGGCTTCTTGATTTCTAACAGTTTAAAAAAACATTTAATGATGACATTTCGAATGCGAATATTTCAGAAACGGTTGAATTTAGGTATATGGTTTGTTATATAAATTATGCTCAGAATTTTACAAGGAATCGAAAAATAAATTCATACACAGAAAAAAAGGAATGGTTAATTTAACTATATTAATTTAGTTGACCCATATTTATTTAAATCAACCGTCACGGTGGGCTTGAACATGACTTAAATGCGAGATTTTAGCACTCCCGATTTTCTTTCGGCATTCGATTTCTGGACTCATAAGAAGGTCAGAAAAAAAAATCCACCGTAATACTTAGAGCCGATTTTGAAAAAACGACTTTTCTTAAAGTTCAAGAAATATGCATTTTTAACGCGTCTCCTCTTGGACTTGGAACACGCTCAATTTGGTAGAAATGTGATATCCGGACATTTCAGAATAGAAGACTAAAGACAGACAAACCTTTTCCTGGATACAGACCAAAAAAAAATTCTTCGTGCGAGTTTCTAAAGGAAAAAGGATTGAAAAAAAACTGAAATCTCGATTCTTGAACTGATAATTTTATTAAAAAATAATGTTTAAATAATAATTATTATTGTACAAGAATAAATAGTTTGATAATTTTGAATCAATGTCTGAGGTAAAGAACATGTTAACAGTGATACAAAAAAAAAACAAAATTCTTGGCTTTTTTAACCAAATTTGCAAATTACTATTGAGCGACAAGTTATAACGTTTACGCTTTAACTAGCTAGTTATAAATGAACACTATTGTATTCTCGGAGTGCGGTCAGTAATTTACTTCCATAATCTGGATGACATTTTTTTACTTTATATTTGTCCCAGGTAATCCCAAAGTCATGGTGGACAGATTCCATGGCCTGCTCGCTAAAAAAACCCAACCCTTGTTTGGTTTTAGCGACAAACTCGGGTACATGAAAAAACACAGCATATGCCATATGGACCTGGAGTGTTTACTACTCCAAAAATCAAATGCAATTCAGGGGGTGCAATGATATCAAGAATCTGTCTGGAGTCATCTGTGCCTCTTGAAAGAACAGGCAAATTTGAACAATTTTTGTAATTTTTTGCAAAGGACTTTTTGAAGTTGATCTTTTCCCATTCTAAATAATTTTCTTGGCAGTTTTCTATAGTTCTCTTCTCGCCACAAGTGTCCAAACTTTCTTTCGAGGCCAAACACCAGGTACATGGAAAGCTACTAGCATGAGACATGATTCCCACCAATATATTAGCGACTTTCAAATCGGTTGCAATTGTGCCCGCAAAATCATTGATTTGTAAGAGAGACCATAACATTCTGACATTTTCGTGGTTTTCTTGTGTGGCTGCAATTATTGCGAGAATAAATAATTTTTTCACTCCGGAATCCTTGAATCTTTTTGCCGCTACGCCCGCTATATATTTTTGTCGATTATCTATTACAGCAGAATCAGGTTCTTGCACTGAAAGGCAAATCTTGAGAAACCCTCCTCCACCATCAATTCCAAACTTCAAATCATTGTTTCGAGTTCCTTTTATATAAGCGATTAAGGCCGCAACATCTGTACAATATGCCAATATTTCTGTAGAGGTCGTTTTCTCGCCAGCTTTGGACGTCATTATGGGGCAACTTTTGAAATTAAAAAATGCATCTAGCCTAAGCGCCTGTGGCGGTATGTAGATAGTTTTGTCTTCAGATGGGGTTCAAACAGGTTTTTATTTTTGGGAGCCAACCCGTAAGTCCCTCGCTATTCCCTGAACTACGTTGCTGGAGAGGCCGTAATTTGTGGCTATTTTACAAACATCTAGCGCGGAAATCTGTTGCGGGCCTGTAGATGGATTATTTCGTTTCGGGGTGATTTTAATGTTGAGTGCCCTTCCGTGGATCTGGGATAATGTAACGGTTTTGTTCCCCGAGCTGGGCCCAGCTCCCATGGGAGTATTAGTATTTAAAGATATGTCCTTTATCAAAGAACATGCCAAATGTTCTCTCTGTTTCGGGGGAAGCAAGTTACTTAAATGTTCTTGGAAACTCGGGAAGTGTTTTTTCCCTACCGAATAAGTTTCCCCACATTTTCTGCACTTGTTGCTTCTCTACTTTTTGTTTTTGCCGGGTTTTTTGGTGAAGTTATATGGCCCTGGATCTCGTACCAATTCACGCAATGTGCAACTGCACAAAGCTTGAGTTTTTGCCCGAGTATTCTTCCCCAAAATTTTAAATTCTGTATAGGTAGTCCGGGAGAGCTATTTCCCCGATATTTCCACACTTCACTGACCGATATACGATAATTTTGCAAGCGTTACATAAAACATTGGGAAGAAGTTCATCTTGTTCAGCATAATTCACACATTTTTTTAGATTCAAATATAAACTACCACTGATTTTGACCATTTGTTTCTTCTTCTGCAGGCAGAGAAATCATATCCGCTCCCGATTTTCTTGATGGGTTCCTGCATGATCCTTTGATCTTCTGTCCATACTTTCACAAGAAATTGAAATTTCGAAGAGAATAATAATTATTACAACTTCAACAGTTACTGTTAAACGTCAAACGTCATTGTCGCTAAATTATGGAAGTCTGGCAACTAAAAGTGAGTGAAAGGTAGAAAAATCCCGATATCTCGAACAGTGAATTTTTCTCCATTGCAAAAGGGTGTTTTTTCGAAAACGGCTCTAAGGATTACGGTAGATTTTTCTTTTTGGCTTTCTTATGACTCCAGGAATCGAATGCCGAAAGAAAATCGTAGGTGCTAAACCTTCGCATTTAAGTCATATTCAAGCCCACCGTGCCGTGGGAAGGTTAATATAAACAAAGATTAGTTTAACGGTACTAAACCAGATAGTCATTTTATTTTTTTAAATTGGTTAAATTAACCCAGAAAACTTTAGTGAAACCAACCCGCTGTATGGTTCAGTTTACTAAATATGTTTTTTGTAAAATAATAGTTACTTCAACCTTAAGCACTATGTTAAAATGACTAAAACAATTTGCCGTGCATTCCTGGTTGCATAGTATGTACCGATCGCGGCAAAGGCGGTGTGGATCGCGTGATGTTCTTAAATCTCGCCTCTGTTGACTTACATGAAGAGTATATAAGGTGGTAGTCCTTTGCTTTGGTGTGACACTACAAGTTGTTCGATACTAAAGAGACCTTGAATAGGTGGAAACAGCTGTCAATACTTGAAGTATTTTATTAGGTTTGTGGAACGCACTAAAAACATTATCTCTAGCGAGGTGAAGGTTTAATTATCTGGAATAATACCTCTGGTATTATACTAGTAATGCGTCAAGGACCTTCCTGTTTTTTTAAGAATATAAGAAAATGGCTTAAAAAATTTTTTCTACTCCAAACATTTCAAGATCTTATTTTTATTGTTAAATGCCCCAAACGATATGGGTAAGTTGTACCAAGCCGTTAACCTAGTTAGGGTAACAAATTATATTTAGTCAATTCAACCAAATGTATTTAGTACATTGGACTTTTAGGTAAAGGTCACTTTAACTATATAAATGTTTGTTTCAACCAAATATATAGTTGTAAAATATAACCAAATGCGCTTGTTAAAATAACTAAATGTTTGGTTGGCTCTATTGAAACAACATATTTAGTTAAATGAAACAAATAATAGTTGGGCTAACTAAACCTTTTTTTCTGTGTATATACGGTGATCCATTGAAAAAAAATAAACTTTTTGTTTCTCCCTGTATACTGATCAATTTTCCAATTTTCTTTATACGTAGAAAAAAAGTATTTTTTAGTACCTACATAACCAAACTTTTAAATTTTTTGGGACACTTAAAATAAAAAAGTTAAAGGGGGGCGACATTATAGGGGATCACCCTGTACAAAGCAACCAGGTAATAGGGACCAGAAAAAGGTAGGCAACCTAGCTGTTACATATTCTGTATGTTGTATGCTTTCCATTGGAATTTCGTTCATTTGGCAAGCAAGTCGGTGAAATTTAAAAAATTAATTATTTTTTTTTTAATTTTTTATTTATTATAGCTAGCCTTGATCATATTTTTTATGGCAACCCTATTGGTTTATGTTCAGAAACATATTTTATTTGATAAAATATAATTTTCATCTGGTAAGCAGATGGGTGAAGGTCGACCTTACTTGGGATCCTCTACTAGAATAAGACTGTTGCTTTTTTCTCTCTTGCTATGAGTTATTTTTTATGCTTTACCAACAATATTTATTGTTCTTTTTATATCAGTATTGGACTATTTATCGTTTATGTGTAAGGTTTTATATTGCTTAACCCTGTTGTAAATGACCGATTAATTCCTGTAGAAACCAATTGAAGTATTGGTTGGTATCAATGGGTCTGAATTGGACTTACTGGATTTAATTGGGCGCGATATAAAACAGAAATTGGTTTTTACTGGTATTTTCCATGATGGAAAATACCAGTTAGGATTCTAATGGTTTTTATTGGTTTCGATTGGATAAAGCTACCTATAGGTAATTTCCAATTGAATTCAATTGGGCATTCCCAGTGTAAGATTCGAAAAATCTGCTAATTAATCTGGTAATTTCCATGATGGAAAATACCAGTTAGGATTCTAATGGTTTTTATTGGTTTCGATTGGATAAAGCTACCTATAGGTAATTTCCAATTGAATTCAATTGGGCATTCCCAGTGTAAGATTCGAAAAATCTGCTAATTGGTTATTCCCAATACAATACAAATATCGCAAGAGGGCTCTCGTGTAGCTGCGCAAAATCAACGAGGTTGAGACGCCATCATAAAGAAAAAACGTCTTTGGACGCCATTTATTAGCGGTTTATTTTATTAGTCGATTTCAGTGTTAAGTGCCTAGTGTTAGTAGTCTACTTATATATTAAAAAAATGTTTATATGTGTAACATTACATTTCAGTGTTAAGTGCCTAGTGTTAGTAGTCTACTTATATATTTAAAAAATGTTTATATGTGTAACATTACATTGTGTAAGATTTAGGGATTTAGGCGATAGTAAGTTATATGTATTAATACATACATATATCACAAAAAAAATAATAAATAAATAAAATTACTTAGTAACAATAAATTTTTTGTCTCTTCTGTAAAAAATGAATTCTGGTTTTTACCCGGTTATCCTTCTGGGATCTAAAATTATTTTTGAATGAAAAATAAACTGGTAGGTATTTTCTAATCCAAATTTTAAAAAATTAATTGGTTTAAATTGGTTGGAATGGGTTTGGTGCTATGAATTACCAATTCATTCCATGTGCATTTCTATTGGATTTAGCCAATAGAGACAAGCGTAGGCATGGATTGGTATTTTCCAATTCAAGCCGCTGACTTCATTGGAAATTACCAATAGGAATTCAACTGGAATGAATTGGTGATTCATAGCGCCAAAACACATTTCAAACCAATTCAAACCAATTCAAACCAATTGCTTATTTTTTATTGGATTCTATTGGTATTTCCCAATTCAAGCCGCTGACTTCATTGGAAATTACCAATAGGAATTCAACTGGAATGAATTGGTGATTCATAGCGCCAAAACACATTTCAAACCATTTAAAACCAATTCAAACCAATTACTTATTTTTTATTGGTTTCTATTGGTCATTTACAATAGGGAAGAAATATATATTTTAAGTTACAAGGTGTTTTATTTTATTAAATCTACCAAAAAAATCGCTAGTAGCGCCACCATTCGGCTGATATAATCGTTACAAAAGAATAACTTTGTTGTTGTCGAGTAAGACTTATGGTTTTGTTTGCTGGGTAGGTTGATATTTATACAAGCAGGACGTTTACCAAAACACAGGACATCTTGAGGGATTAAAAAGAAACTAATTTTTATTTATTATTATCATTATTTAATCAAAGCAAGATATGTACAGATCCAAATAATTTTCCAATCTCTGTCTTTTCAGAACCATACTTTTAGTCATAATACGATTCGCTACAGATGTGCCTTCATGTGAATGAACATATGAACAATCTCTTATTTTCTAAAACACAAAAAGGTTCAGTTTTGAATACTCAAATCTGGATAATGTATGAAAAGGTTAAGAGGTTAGGTGACAGTTTGTAATCTTACTTTAAACTCCTTAAGTTCTTTCAAAGTATGTATTTCTTGGGTCGTTTTTTCCTCCATCCAACATAAGTGACACAAGAAGGTTGCAAAATTGTTGTGCCAATAATCTTTAGTGCAGACATCTTTACACTTATGGCAAACATCACTAGGCGTAGGCTGACAGTATGTTTGAACGCATGGTATCATTTTCGGGTGGCCAAAATTCGAGAAAAATTTGATGCGTCTGCACTGAGATATTTTTTCGAGGTTGTAGGTACCTGGGCTGGAATTTAATTAGGTTAGAGGATTCTATGGTGTTCTTGTGCGTTTTTACCCTGGATTGTTGTTTGTTTTAAGGTCGTAGATCGATTTTGAGTTGAACGGGGCAGCTATTTGCCTTTTTTTCTTCGGTTTGGGCATCAGTTCGTATCTAGTTGGCGAAGGTGTTCTTTGAAATTTACTTTGGAACCTTTCTGAGTTGCTAGCGAAAAAACCTACACCTTTTACACTGCGTATCTGTAAAAATACAGTTTTTCTCCTCTGTTTGGTTTGAATAAAAGTTTGATTACGATTGGTATACCATATATGTACTTTAATTGGCATGTCGAGTTTTGCGAAGATAAATGATTCTGTGATGTACAGTTACGGAAAATAGTAATGTCCATTTCGGAAGCATTCGAAAATAGTCAACATCCTTATGCCGTTTTCATATTTTATTGGATTTTTATACATTGAAATAAGTTGGTATTGGGCAGTTATTTCATAAAACAAATATGAAGCTAACATGCAAAAGCCGATAAATTCATTTTAACTTATTATGAAATATTGGCCAAAAATGGCCAAAAATGTGTACAGCAGATTGCCCCAAATGTTTAAAAACTACTAAAAGGAAATGTTGCTTCTGTTCAGTTGTCTCTGTTTCGGTTTTTTCCTAAAATGCTGTGTTAAGTTAAAAAAGTTTACCAAAATTAGTAAGAATCGGTTGTATCCTCTTAAAATTTAAAAATAGATTTATCGGTTTTCGCATGTTTGCTCTATAAATAATGAAAAGTAAAATGTTGATAAGCGTATTAAAAGTGAATGTCTTTTTATAAGCACAAAATTCATTTTAGTTTAAAATCTTAATGGCTTTAATTTACATAGCAAGAATAAATTTTAATTCAAATTGTCCAGGTAACAAAAAATATATTAAACAATTTTATTTGCAAAATTATGCAAAAGTTTATAATTATTTTAGTAATAAATGTCTATATATTTTATTTAAATATATTATTTAACATATAATTAACATAATAACATGTAGTTTATTAAATAAATTATAGAACATATATTATATTCAAATTATTTCAAAATCAATTTAATTCTTTAAATATTTAAATGGTTTAGATTATTGCATAAAAGCTTAAAAGTCAAATGAAATGTGCGCAGAAAGAATGATAAATAGCAGGTAGGTAGAATTATTTAAAAAAATATGTTAATTTTATTACCAAAACCCGAATGTCTACGCACAATTACAATGGGGCATTCAAATGGACATTTCTATTTTCCTTAACTGTACTATTTATTATTATTACTATTTTTCTTAACTGTACCGTTTTTTATTCTACTTTTGGAATTTTTTTAAATCCTGACGTGGAACAATAATAAATATTGTACCTTATTTTCTAATTTTCCAATAAAAGTATCATTCTCATTATAGTAGCTTCCTGGCTGAATTTTGGGATTTAATTCAGGGGCATTTCGTTTTTGGTGAGGGGCCAATTTGTTTCCTATGGGATCAGTGGATCTTTCCTGGGACGTTCCAAAACAAACTTTTTTATCTTTTTGTAGTTCTACCAAATAGTTATCGTCTAGAATGATAAAATGAAAAAATAAAATCGTATCTAATTGTTATTTGAAATTTGGTGTCAACATGTCAATTAACACTTACCCTTAAAAGTTTGAAATGGTTTGAACATTGTGCCAAGAGTCTTTACAAGTGAATGTCGAAAGTTAAAAGTGAGTTTCCGTTACGCGAGCAAGTTTTTATGCCACCAGGGGCGTACCATTTATTTATAATTTTATGAATTTAATTATAATTAAAAAATTAATTTGTATTCTTAGAACTAGTGTTCCCAACTTACATTTTACATTCCCGGTAAAAAATAAGTCGCAAGTAACGCACGAATTTTCACGAATTGCATATACAGGGCGTACCAAGTATTCCTATATGTATAGTCTAATAAAATAAAATTTCAAAATTAAAATTTCAAAATTAAAAGAAAATTAGCGGTTTTCAAATAATTTGAAAAAAACTGAAAACCTGTCAAAACCAAAAATTGTTAAACCTTTGTTATTCCTTAAAATTTTGAAAAAAAGTAAGTTTCACATTTAATTTTCTCTAATTAAAATATAAATACCCATAGAAGGATATAAAATATAATATTATTAACTCGCAATATTAAAAAAAATAAAATAAAGACAAAAATATTTTGTACGTCGCTGGTAAGATTGCGTGCCGAAAAATTTGTTCTCGGGACCAGGTTAAGGGATTCTAAATTGTCCCGATATTATTTGTCTTTTCTCGGTCGCCGAATTTTTATATTTTTAGATGACTTAACAATAAAACGAAATTGTCTTGAGACACGAAAAAGCGTATGGTGCGGTGGCCGAAGTGTGCGCAGCCGTAATGCGTACTATTGCCTCTAAATAACGTAAAATGTTTACCAGATTCATTTAGGAAATCTTCATTGAACTGTGCGTGGGACATAATCCGGACCAACATTTTGAACAGAAAAAAAATAACGTCAAAATGACAAATAAAAGAGACAGTAAAATAAAATATATTTATTATTCATCATATAATAATAAAATTAAGTACAAAGCGATTTGTTAGTTTGTAAAATTTAGCTTCTAAAATTATTCTATAACCATAATTTATCACAGAATAATAATCTATCAGGTCTTGTAAATTAACTCTTAAGAGTTAATTATTAACAATGTTTCAATATCTAATGGTATTTATTATTAAATACTGTCAATACAGTAAAATACTGTTACAACAATTTTTGATATCTACAAGCTATAAATATATACATAATAGTTGAGTTTTTATACATAAAAAATTAACTAGGTAAATAGTTAATGAATTGTTCATAATAATTTGTCATAATATGTTGGTCTTATCATCTAACCAAAATAGGATATAGTGTTATTAAGTGTTATATTTTATAAACATACATATACCTTTACATGGGCATAACTAAGTGGGAATCTTCTTTTTTCTACTCAATATTACATACCAGACTCTGCAATTCCCTCATCATCTACAAAAAATTTAAATAAGTTACAGACAAGCACAAAATACTATATTTGAGGAGAAGGTGGTAATATAAAACCTGTCTTTAATTTGCATTTTTACTTACTTATTAAGCAGAATTAGTTTTTCATAGCATTGAAATTTTTTTCGTAGAAAAAGTAAAAGGTTTTATACTAAAACCCGCTCCTCCTACCTACTCAATAACATGCATAAAACGAAATATTGATTTCAATCAAAAAATGCATCAATAAGGAAAAAATTAAACATCAAGCAAACAATGGTAACTATGGCAGGCAAAAACAAAAGCATAACACTATTATACAAATGGGTCACATGCAAAAATATACGGGGAAACATAGAACAACATCCTGAATTATTATTATTATTATTAGTTTGGAAAAACATACAAAGTAATATTAAGAAAGCTAAAGAATGTTTATTTATTTGATTCTTTGCGGTTTTTTTCAAAAAAGTCTCAAAAAAAGTTCATTTTGGTTTGTGGAATATAAAATAATGTTAAAACATAAAAATCAAATAGATGAATCCATATATTGTATGATCTAAGGTTTTATGTTTTATAAACTAAACGGTAAATTATTTTAAGGCACATTATAAAAGACATAAAACTTTAGAGAGTATAAAAAACCATAGAGAATCTTAAAGCATATAAAGCATGGAGTGCTATAAAGTCTAAGCTAACCTTTTCTTCTCAGATACGCCTAAATCGGGAACTAAACCAACTTTCCCTTCACCAGATTTTCCTGAACCACAGAAGAAGTTTTTACATCGAGATAGAAAGTGATCAACCATTTCTAAGGTCAATAAAAATGACCTCACTTTTAGTACAATTATATTTAAGAGTTTTATTATTGAATCACAAGAGTTATTAATTACATTGAGAGGAACTTCCACCTTACTTAAAGCGAATAATACTGTTAAAACAAACATACACCGTGTGGAGTTAAAGTGTGGAGCCGTCGATGTTATATACATCGAGAAAAACGTGTGTAACCGTCACGGTGAGTCTTTTTTTTCGTAACTTACCTTCGAAGCCTTGGTTTTCGTGTATCTCCCGTGGACTTCCCGTCAGTTCCGTGCCTTCCAACACTGCCAAAAGGCACTGGTGAATGCAGATGTACTGTTGCTCCGTTTGCACCATCCAAACTCTTTCTTTACGCATCGCGTAAACTATACCGAAGATGTCGACGTAGTCTGACAAGTTTATTTGCTGCAGGATGCGATCTAAGCATATGAATGTACCCGATCTACCCACTCCCGCACTGCAAAAGAGTTTTAAGTTAAGCATTTTATTAATTTTAGGAGTTAACCGTATTTACCTGCAATGTACAACTATAGGTCTTTGATCTGCACCTACCCGCTCTCTGAAGGCTTTAACAAACCTTACCAAAGTATGTGGCGGGTTAGGCACGCCAAAATCTGGCCACGTAGTGAAATGAAAGTGTCTTATAACCCTCTGTTGCTCTCCCTATTAAAAAACCACCATAAATAACTCCCAAAAACATCAAACTCGATTTAACTTACCCTACAAACCATAAACTCGCTGACATTCCAATCGGGATACCTAGTTTCGTTCAAAATCTGAACGGATATGTCGCCATAATAAACAGGCATAGTGTCATACGGCCAGTAGTGATCGCATTTTTCCCTGCCCTTTTCCACGCAACGAGTTAACATTATAATGGCGCGCGAATTCGATTCCCACACCATGCGCCACATATCGTCTCTGGTTGAATGAAGAGGTCCCTGAGTTACCAAGAACTCCCTCGGGGAGTTAAAACCCTACAAAGGATTAACTCTTCAAAAATATGTTCAACAAAGCTAGTTAACTCTTAATATTAAGAGTTAACCATGGATAACTCCCAAAATTAAGAGTTAACAATGGATAACTCTTAACATTAAGAGTTAACTTTTTGTCTGGGAACTTTTTCGCTTACCGGAACATAATTGGCGTTGATGTAGTCCGAACCTTCCTCGTCGTCTACGGGTTGTAACTTGAATCTCGAATGATCGTATGGTAAGATGTTGGTGAACCTATTTTTGGGCCTATTACAAGGTAGGTCGGCGAAAGTGCACGGTTGATCTTTTCCGACGTGTTTTAACTCTTCGAATTCTTCGCTGAACCTACAAAAAAAAGTTAAGTAACTCTTAAAAGACCAGGGAAAAGTCGTTCATACCTGAAGTCGGAATCGGCAGACATGATTCTATAGTGATTGGCAAAGTTTTCTATGTTTACAGGTCTATTTACAGGCTCGATAACTGAATCCGGCAGTGACATGTTATCGTTTGTTCTAGCTTCAGTAGCTTTCCTATTTGCCGTTCGTCGTTTTTTAATGGCAATTATGCTTATGAAAAGAATTGCGATAAGGACTACTGGGATTGTAACACCCAGTATAATAGGAGTGTTGTCCTGATCTGTAAAAATTTGTTATTGTTAAAATTTGTATCAGTGATTAGTATTGGTTTTGGTTCGACTTACTCTTCTTTAACAATCCTTTTAAAGCATGTAATAAAGACTTACATTTTAATACAACTAATTTAACTTCTAACTTAAAAGTCTTGCACTGTACTGACTGACTTTTCAATTCAAAGATAACTTATACTACTTAAGATAGCAATTTATATTGTTCGTTTTTTTTTTAAATATTGAACAAATTAGCAATTAAGATAAACACCAATTACTCACCAGTTTGTATGGGAAAACTGTAACTTGTATCTGTAAACTTATCGGGCGCCGTGAAAGCGCGTATTTTAACTCTATAGGTAGAGCCGGACTTTAACGGGCCGTTACAGTACCCGACTTGTCGGATATCGCAGGATTCCGAACCGATGGTAAAGTCTTCAACCGAGCTGTTTTGGAATGGGTAGTAAGGTTCCGTGACCTGGAATGGCGGCCATGTTGGATATGCCTGTACGTCACGCCACGAAGGCATTTCCAGGCCTGAAGCGTTTTTCGTGTCGTCTTCTGCTACGATTATCGCATAGGAAACAACCTGAAATGTTGGGAGTTAACGAAATGTTAAGATTTAACAAAATGTTAAGATTTAAAAACATTTAACAAAAACGTTAAGAGTTAACAAAAATGTTAGAGTAAACAAAAATGTTAAGATTTATCAAAAATGTAAAGATTTAACAAAAACGTTAAGAGTTAACAAAATGTTAAGAGTTAACATAAAAGTTAAGAGTTAACAAAAATGTTAATACTGAACAAAAATGTTAAGATTTATCAAAAATGTTAAGATTTAACAAAAACGTTAAGAGTTAACAAAAATGTTAAGAGTTATCAAAAATGTTGAGAGTTAACAAAATGTTAAGAGTTAACAAACATGTTGAGAGTTAAAAAAATGTTAAGTTAACAAAAATGTAAAGATTTATCAAAAATGTTAAGATTTAACAAAAACGTTAAGAAACGTTAAAAATTAACAAAATTGTTAAGAGTTAACAAAAAATGTTAAGAGTTAACAAAAATGTTAAGAGTTAACAAAATTGTTAAGAGTTAACAAAAACGATAAGAGTTAACAAAAACTTTAAGAGTTAACAAAATGTTAATAGCTACGTACGGGTCCATAAATATCGCTGAAGTAGTTTTTCCTGAACCTAATCTGTATGGTGGTACTGCTGATGGAAACCTCTGTTGGTACAAC